GTCCTCCTCCTCCTCCTCCTCCTCCTCCTTCTCCTCCTCCTCCTCCACTCCTCGACTCATCTCTCGTTTCGATATTTGACAATTTACTTCCGAGTGCTCGTCGTGGCCTCTTCTCCGCAATAGTCATTACATTTTACTGACCATGTGCTTTTAAATGATGGCACAAACGTGTAAAAACGTAACGAGGCTAAAATCCAAGATAACGACAATAAGGAGTCTCTTGTCCTTGAACAGATTTACTCGGGCGCATCGTCGAAGCACGTGGAAATGCAAAACGTGGAGTCCGGTTGCCCGCGCGAGGCGCAGTGCTCGCCGAACCCCTGCAATAACAACGGCCACTGCACCGACCGCTGGCGCGACTTCTCCTGCAAGTGCGAGCGACCCTACCTCGGCTACACCTGCCAATACAATATGACCGCGGCGACCTTCGGCTACGAGAACATCACCAATGGCTACGTGAGCGTGAGGGTAACAGACACGGCGCGTCGGGCCGTACGCTCGATCGTCGATATCTCCATGTTCATACGTACGCGGGAGGAGCGCGGCGACATTTTTTACCTGGGTAGCGAGCCCAGCCTAGCATCCGCCGATGCTAAAGAGAAGACGTACATCGCGGCGCAGCTCGAGGGCGGCGAGCTTCTCGTGCGCATCCAGTTCAACGGCACCGAGGCCTACACCGTAGGCGGCGTCAAGCTCAACGACGGCAACAATCATCTCATACAGGTCATCCGCAACGTCACCCTCGTGCAGGTGAAGATCAACGGTACCGAGTACTTCAGGAAGACGATCAGCGCGAGCGGGCAACTCAACGTCACCGTCCTCTATCTCGGTGGCCTGCCTCAGGTGTCGAGGTACATCAGACAGGTTGACAGCAGGCTCATGGAGGTCACGCACGTACCCCAAATCAACTTCAAGGGCATCATCCAGGACGTTCAGATATCGAACGGCGTCGACACCATGGTCGTCGAGTTTTATCCCCTAAAGGTGACATTCACTCCTATTGTTGTGATTTTGAATTATCTCATCATCCTTATCATTACCGAAGTTTTAACATCACATAATTCGCGCAATATCATCCGCCATGTTTATCTATTATATACCTTCAAATTATATTATTATTATTATTATTATTATTATTATTATTATTATTATTATTATTATTACTTACGGATAATACCCTGTTTTATCACGTTGTAAGAGTTCGCGCGCGTAACAATTAACGCGTAACATACTTCATCTTTTAACGGAACTACAATAAACGATTATTGTAAGGACAATGCGTGCACAATGAGGTCACAATGCCTGCCGTCACATCGATCCTCTCGTCCTCGCTCACGTATCGTTCGCGTTAAAGCGCTCGCAGGTCGACACAACACCTATAAATATCTGAATATTGGCATAATTTTCCCCTTCGCGTTACCCACAGGCCAAAGGCATTCTCGCTCTCGTCCAATTCGGTAAGGTTAGCTTCGATCCAGAGAAAGTCCTCGAGGGCGTTGTCTCGGACAACGTGTGCTCGTCGAATCCGTGCTTCCACAATGGCACCTGCCACGTGACGTGGAATGACTTTTGGTGCCAGTGCCCACGTGGCTACACGGGCAAGACCTGCCAGGAGATGGAGTTCTGCCAACTCCAAGACTGCCCGACCGGCTCCAAATGCCAAAACCTGGACGATGGCTACGAGTGTGTGGCGAACGCGACATTTGACGGCATCACTACCTCGTTCACCTACGCGTACAGCCACCCGGACACGATGAATCTCACCGATTCGGCAGTCGACCGAGTGAGGATTACTTACAGGTCGAACAGCGGTGGTACCCTCATGCACATGGCCCCCAGGTCCGGCAACTCGTACTTCACCGTCTCCGTATTCGAGGACAAGATCACAGTTGCGTGGAAATTCGGCTATGAGAACAGCGGGCTTCTGACGTTTGGCAAGCCGGAACCGGACGGCAACTGGACAACTATAATCCTCAAGCTTAGCAATAATTCGATCGAGTGCGGCTTCGAGGACACGAGCGACGACGCCATACCCCAGAGCAGCCCTAACTTCAGCTTCGCCGATTGGTACGAGCTCCTCATCACGGGCAGTATCACCCTCGGCGGTCTCGGCAATCCGCTTTCTGACAGGCACACCTACATGACCATCGGCACCGAGAGGCACATCGAGAGCAGGGACGCCGTCTCTGGGAACTCGGTGGAATTTACCGACCGGAAGCTAACCACCGCTATGCCGCCACACAGTATGCTGTCCGGTAAGATAAATTAATCGACAACGCGGATCCAAGCCAACCAGAGTCTTGGCTCTGCGCGTCCTTGGATAAGACCATCGTTTAATAATCTCACGGTCGCGCGAATAATTGCCGACGAAATTTACGAAATACCGGATGTTTGTCTGTCTGTCTGTCTGTCTCTCTCTCTCTCTCTCTCTCTCTCTCTCTCTCTCTCTCTCTCTCTCTCTCTCTCTCTCTATTACTCTATCGATATTATCTATTCTATCTCTCCATCTATCTATCTATATGTCTATGTATCTCTATCTCGTTTTCGGCCGTCGAGACAAATTTATCCATGAACTTGGTGGTGAATTATTATTTTTCACTCAGTCGAACTGAGATGTTAGATCGGCAACTTAAATCGATGATTAACTTAATAAAAACATACCAAAGCCTCTAGTACTGAAACTAACGTAACGAATGTATTATCTGCAAATTCAAAGAGAAATTTCAAATCACAAGGCTGAAACATTACTAAGACTAGACTAGAATAATGACAATGATGATGACGATTAGGACGAGTAATAATGAATAAATTGGCAAAACGCAACGTTACAGGCGAAGCGTTCAAGGGTTGCCTGGGTGAGGTGCGGATCGGCAGTATGCTCCTGCACTACTTCACCTACGAGGAAGTTTATCAAAATGCAAATTTCACGCCCTTGGAGTTCTTGTCGCTGCAGCAGGACAACGCTTCGAGCCACGACAACATCGGTTGCCGGCTCTGCTTCGACAGGAACTGCAAGAACAACGGACACTGCCTCGACCAATTCAGCAGTTACGTCTGCGAGTGCCCGCCAGGTTACGCCGAGGACGACTGCTCGGTCGACATTGACGAGTGCGAGGACAATAAGTGCGAAAACAACTCGACCTGCATCGACGGCATCGCCAATTACACGTGCGCCTGCAAGACCGGCTGGCAAGGATGGCTGTAAGTTACTAACCCGATTATTACTTATGCCCTGCTCTTGGGAACTCTTGCGGTGGCGTAGGTACATATCTCCTGATTCAAGGAGTCCATTCCCCGATTATCGTACGTGGATATAGTAGCTTCAACGCGGATTCGAGACATAAAATTCCAGGCTTTAAGCAATTGACATTGGCAACCTAGAGTCTCAACGGCGTCCAAGACGGACACGCGAATGGCCAAGGCCGAGCGACGATCGCGTCCCATCCCGGGCGCGATCGAACGACGACGCAACTTAAAGATCATCCAGTCGCGGTGCGATCGCTGCTTCTGCCTTATCTTATCTTGTCGCTGTACCCTACCCCTTTCCCCGTCCCTCCCCGGCTGTTCGTCGCGATAATGATTGTCCGATGGCGCTAATGCTCGCGCCACCGACGATGCCGCAGGTGCGAGGAGGACGCGAACGAGTGCGTGAGCGTCAGGCCCTGCCAACACGACGGGGTCTGCGTCAATCTCCCGGGCTCGTTCCACTGCGAGTGCCCGGACCAGTACACCGGCGAGCTCTGCGAGCACTTCCGACTCATCACCTGTGCCGACGAGCCCTGCGGCAACGGCTCCACCTGCGAGGATCTCGCCAATCCCAAGACCGGCGACAACTTTACCTGCAGCTGCATGCCCGGCTACGAGGGAAACCTCTGCGACACCCCGTACTGCATGCTAAAGGGCTGCCAAAACGACGGCAAGTGCGTCTTCCTCTATCAGGTGAGTCCGCGGAGCATCTCGTAGATCGCGTTTCGTCCTCGTCGCCTCCGTCGTCATGTATTTCCCATCGGCCTTCGCGCTCAAGCATCGTCGATTTTACTTTCGATGGGCAATCGACGTTCGATGACCTCCTCGATGCCACTCGTCGACTCGTTCACTCGACATGTCGCTCCAGCACCAACAATACGCCATGCCGTTACGTAAGCCTGCCTTCGATTACTATCTCTCCGAGATAAAAACAAGCACGCGTTAGTGCGTTAATACAACCGCATTGTTTAATTAGCCCAATAACAATAATAAGAACTGGGTTAAGGGCAAGTTATTTTGGACGATCGGCGCCGTTTATATTTACCGGTGGCTCATTCTTTGTTGTGTTTTCCTTTCACATGGCGGCTCGTCTCTGCTAATCTCCATTGGCACATAACTGATAATATATAAATAAACGTAGTTGGCTTTGTTGGATTTAAACGTGTAAGTTGGAGTTGTTTTGCTCGTGTCTTGGTGAACGCGCCGAGTCGTATGTTTAAGTAATCTGGTGGCACAACGGGTATATTTCACAGTGGCCAATCCTAAATTTTAGATTAACTTGTCGCTCACTCTTCACGGTCATTTCACACACACACACACACACACACACACATATATATATATATATATATATATATAATTTAGGAAAAATGTCACGTGATAATAATAGCCGCGTTTCACGAGCTTCGGCTAATCTTTTTTACAAAGTCGAATATTCCGACCTCGTGGTAACAGACGTAATTTGCCTGGAGCAACGCGTTGATCCCTGTCGATTCGACAAAGGGCAAATAAAGTGGGAAAAAAAATCGGTGATCGCGAACAAGTAAACACAATGACAAAAACATCATGGGCCAAGATTTCGAGATTTTTGAAATGCTGACGACGACGACGACGACGACGACGACGACGACGACGACGACGATGACGACAACAACAACAACAACAATAAGGACGAGGACGATGATTACGTAGAGCCACGCGCCTCGTAAACTTTTAATTTCTTTTAACGCGTTATTCCTCGTGATTCTCATCGTTGTTCCGGCCGCTCAGACGCCCCAGTGCTCGTGTCCCCTGGGCTTCACGGGCCTCTACTGCGAGACCAACATCGACGACTGCGCGGCGGACCTCGAGGGCAACGTACCCTGCAAAAACGAGGGCAAGTGCCACGACGAGGTCAACAACTTTACGTGCGACTGCACGGCCACGGGCTACACGGGCACCGACTGCACCTACGACATTAACGAGTGCCTCAAGCCGCTGATCGACTGCGGCTTCGGCAAGTGCGACAACCTGCCGGGTAGCTACCGCTGCCTCTGCGAACCCGGATACTGTGGCTACAACTGCAAGATGGAGGATCCCTGCAAGGACAACGACTACTGCAAGAACGGCGGCACTTGCGAGTGCGTCGAGGACAAGGGCTACACCTGCCATTGCCCGCCTGACTATACCGGGCAGAACTGCACCGAGGTAAGAGTCACCACGTAACCATAGTTGGACAGATGGTAGTCATCGCGACCAGTCTGTCTGTCGCAACGATGGGCCCCACGACGACGAGCGCTTATATTATTGATTATTATTGATTATTGATTATTGATTATTGATTATTGATTATTGATTATTGATTATTGATTATTGATTATTGATTATTGATTATTGATTATTGATTATTGATTATTGATTATTGATTATTGATTATTGATTATTGATTATTGATTATTGATTATTGATTATTGATTATTGATTATTGATTATTGATTATTGATTATTGATTATTGATTATTGATTATTGATTATTATTAACCGGGCTTATTAACCCTTGCAGTCGGAGCACTTTCTGGGAAGTCAGGCACTGGACATCGCGGTGATCGTCGGGCCCATCGTCGGCATCCTCTTCCTCGTAGCCGCTGGCTCGCTGATAGCCCTCTTCATGATGGCGCGGAAGAAACGAGCGACCCGCGGCACCTACAGCCCCTCCGCACAAGAATTCAGCAATCCCAGGGTAGAGATGGACAACGTGATGAAACCACCGCCGGAGGAGAGACTCATTTAATAGACTCTATCGTCAATTTGTATCCTAGTCCCGTCCAAGATTATCGATTGAAGGGGCGAGAGCGAGTGCGAGAGTATCGCGCGACCCACATAACCAGACGACGACCGATCGGACGACCGAGGACTACAACACGATCGGATCGCTCTTTAGACGAGGGCGGACCACAGAGGCCTGGCATTTCTTATTTCCTGCATCGACGACTAAGTTCAACGAGCTGCGACAAACGAAGGCTTTTTAATAGCTTTTTAATAGCCGAAAGCCAGCTGATTTGCCATCGGCCTCCTCTTTCCTCCTAAAGAGATTGTCTAAAGCTTGTTGTCGTTGCTTAACCAACAGTAGTGGTAACGAGTAATCGACGTTAACCATTATTAAGTCCTTAACGTTCCCCTTTATACGTATGCGTGGGACGTATGTTTACGCGAGTGCTTCGCTGCCACCGATTAATATTGTACTTTGTGGGTCTTCTTCGTTCCGTAATGTCACAGCTTGAATTTTAATTTTAAGGGCGATAGGCGGCTCGCAGGTGGCCGAAGGTGCGTAGGTTCGGCTCGTTATTTGATCCGTCGGCTACTGGGGATCCGAGGCGTGAGAATATTTTTAAGATGGAGTCGGGGAGCCTCTCGTTATCCGTGTTGTTTTCGTCTGGGAAGCGCGCTACGAGATTGTGATGATGCGCTCGGGGACAAGGAGTCTGATGGTCGGTCGGTAAATGTCGCTCGTGCTGAGGCAAAATTGCCTCGACCGGCGACGAGACTCGCTCGCCTCTTCTATGCAACAATCAAGGATGAAGCGAATTTTTCTCCACCCCTCCGACATTCTAATTACATCTACGACGATCGGATAATATCTAACGATCATCGGCTCGTTTAACGAAGGTCTTTTTAACGATAACGAGGATATGCCAGTTTCTGCCTTTGCGAGGAAAATCATTCCAAGTGTACTTAATGGTTTTTATAAGTGTAAGTAAGAGTTACGCTGAACTTGATAGAAATTAACGCGAAACCCGTCCACCGTAATGCCTAAAATATACTCCATTTGCAAAAAGTTAATTTATTCGTAAGGATAATGAGCGGAGAAACGGTAGGGTGTTTTTTTTTTTTTTTTTTTTTTTTTTTACTGCCGTCGCGTCTGCTTATTTGGCAATTGTTCTTTCACTTCGATACGAGATGATCTCAAATGACAATGTAGCATATTGAGGTCAAGAGGCGTAATTTATTAGAAGGAGAAGAGCGGCGTTACGCTAGTATTTTGCGCACGCAGTTATTCTGGTATTATCCGGGCAATAAGGCGCGAGTTGTAACTCAACGAAAACGTAGTCCTGCATGTTTATTTTGTAAATAGTGCGTAAGATAAGTCGTAAATTATGTTAAGAAATGAAAATTATTAACGCTTTTATCGAGTAAGATTTTATATGAAAGTAGGTAGTATTTAACTTTAAATACGCTCTTCGAATTAATATTGTATGTGCCGCCGCGTGTATGCATATATAATATATGTACGTCGTTGTGCGTGTGTCCTCGTGTGCGCGGCGAGTGTGCGCTTGTGCGTTTGTGTAAGCCGACACGACCAAAGTACCTTGTTCATTTTACGGCGAGCACGCGTTTGCTCGCTCATTATTACCAATTGCAAGCTCGACAAAAAGAAAAAGAAAAAGAAAAAGAAAAAGAAAAAGAAAAAGAAAAAGAAAAAGAAAAAAAAGAAACATGCGTAATTGAGATTTCTTTCCTTTCTTTGTTTTTTTTTTCCTTTTTTTTCCTTTTTTTTTTCCTTTTTTTTTCCTTTTTTTTCCCTCTTCTTTTCCTTTTTTTTTTATTTATTTATTTTATTTTATCTTTCATTCTGTTCTTTTAAATCGCGATTCGTAGTGTGTCGACGAGATAGTGAATTTTAAATAAATTTTCGACTTCTTAGTCTCTAAGGACCTAAGGATACATATTGCGGGAGCAATCGCACCACTGATTTAACATTTTAGCAAGACTGACATTCAGGTAACAAGATTTTTTTGCTAAAGAAACTGCTCAACTGCTCTTAATTGTTCTTTTTCAATATCAATCGACGACGACGATTGTTTATTAATATGAGATACAAGTGTACAAGCAATAAACATAATAATTCAAAATCAGTCGCTTTAGCGTTATCATTTTTCATGAATAATATATACAATGCGATCCTAAAAATATTACACTTTGTCACTTAAATAATTTAAGTTGTGCACACAAAGTTGTTTTGTATATACAAAATACATTCGATTCGTGCCTCGTTCTAATGTAAAATATAAAAACGAAAATAATTTCCTTCTTATCGTATTGCACTTCGCGCATTTTTACAAATTTTACTAATTCAATTTTTCCATATCACTTTATGCTTTTTCCATTAATTTTGTGTAGTTTATTTTTTGAAAGCTTATCAAAAAATAACAATCCCGCAGCCCTCTCGACACTTTCCGGTGGAACCTACGAACAATTCACATTTATAATCATAATGACAATAATTACCTTTACATTCAAACTCTATATAAGCTCATTATTGGACAATCGAACAAAATTTTCTATGCTTATATATTATTAAATACTCGATATTAGCGTAATATTAAAATTATATACTTGAAAGTTTTTTAATGGCGCATCATCGTCGATGGGCGCATTGGGCATTACAAAAGCTTCCATTTCTAACTTCAAATCTTTTGTTTCGCCTACAATGATTTTGTAAAAGTGTGTGGGGACTGCAACGTGATTCGAGCCAATAACTTCGTATCTGACGTACTTTTTACCATCCGATTCGACCCTAAATACAATGAAATTCCAATGAAGCGCAACCAGATCCAACCGGATTGTAAATGAAAGGCGTAAAAGACAAGAAAATAAAATAACTAATAAAAGTGGCCGAGCACTTGGCTTACTTTGGTAAGTATAAGGGCCCTGTGCATACATATACATCTTTATATATGTTTGTCAAGCTTCTCACATAAATTTCTAGCCTATTCCACGAGCTCCTATTAAAACCAGCTCCTACTTGCGGCGCCATATTTGTCAGATAAAATGTTTGCTGTATGTGCTTCTGATGTAATCTGTGATTTCCAGCAGCAGCCAAATGTCCGCGATCGTAACCACTTTTTTTATAATCCGTATTCTGCGATCTACATTAGATAAAAAATTTTAACTTCAGTTTGCATGATTATTTTCTCAAGAGGTCGATATAATGTCTTATACAATATACCTAAAAAATGGATGAATAGACGTGTCGGGTACAAATTCACATTTCGAACGATCGATCTGATCGTTCTTTTTCAAACTTTCTTTCGTAAGGTGTTCAAAAACCCAATGAGCAACTCGATTTCTTCTATCGTATGAAAGAACAAAGTCATCGTAAGACCTTATATTGTCCAATCCTGGAAAGCCATATTTCATAATCTGCGGACGATGACAGCAGAACCACTTTATATTAATGATTATAGTAAACATATTATTACAAGAGAATTTAATTCTGGACCTAATTGTAAATAGGCGATAAATAATGTACTCTACAAGTACAAGCTAATAAAATAGTGAATAAAATCAAATATAAAATCTTTGAAATTATCGTTAATAGGCTCTTTAGTCATTGACAAAGTATAAAGCAAATAAAATACAACTATATATTTATATACATACATTTATATATATATATATATATATATATATATATATATATATATATATTAATCCATTTTATTATTATTAATTAAAACTTTCAATTACATAATACTCGCACACATTTCAAATTGTAATGACATTTACAGAACCATTGTGACATAAAAGTTCTATACTCGTTGGCATCTCAATTCAACGAGAGACACAATTATTTCATTAAAAACCTAAGTGCCAACAAGCTTTATATTAATACATTGAATTCTGCGATTAATTAATATAGAAAATCATATGGCAGGTATATTATCAATGCAAAATAAATGAATAAGCATTAGGATAGAGTCATTAATAATAAAAATGTGATAGAGATGCATAATTTTAGGTTAAAGTCACTATCATCCGTAGAGCCTAATTAGTGCTGACGTACTTGACTTATTCTAGATTCAGACACAGATAATTTCGGACCCATCTCGTTGAACTCATCGGCCGAATGGATCGGCGCAGCAGCCGACACCGTTCCGAAGATAGGCAATCCAGGGAAACTTTTGACATTCGTCCCATACAGAAAAGACCGCCGCCCGTCATTTTTCCCCAAGCTGCCACTCCAATGCCGTTCGTAATGTTTACCGGCTAACCAACCGGCTAAACTCGCACCCGTCATCGATGATAATTTCATCACACTTTTCCACGAGCTCGACATGACTATCCTTTAATTCCTCCTCGACGACAACTAACCGAATACGTTTGCCGCTACGATAGAAATACGATTGCGATCTAATTATGCCTAGGACCTTAATAGGCCACCTATGAACGCTTTCCCTCAACAGATGAAATCGCCATTCTAAAATGCGCGAACATTCAAAATCATAATTATGATTCTTTCCTCGGGGACAATATTCGTGTGCTTTTGCATTAATTAACGAGCTCAGGAATCTGCATGTAGGCTTTTCTTGGCTGAAAATTCTCCATATTACGGCTAACATGCGGTTGAATTCGTGAATCTGAATTGACAACGAATTATACAATATTTCAAGAAATTAATAAATATCTAATCGAGCTTAGAAAATTACGTATTAATAGACAGAAAAAAGGATAAATTGATTGGATTCTGATAAAGTAATATTGAATATTTTTAAATATTATTCTTATGGGCTTAAATATTATTCTTATGAACAATACGCAACGGCGTTTCCTTCTTTCAGGAACACGTGAAAAATTTATAAAATATTTTTTAAGAAAATGTTCGTTAATGGTTGAAAGTTATTTTACATTAATTTTACGAATTATCAGCTAATTAGACATGATTGTTCAATATACAGATCGAGTGCAATGTAAATTAAATATAAATGGACGTATTTGCAATGTTTTGAGAATTAAAACTGACTATCATTTATTATTGTTAAATTATATGAATATATAAGATGAAAGATTCAAGCAATAACGTTGAAATGAATTTAGATATTAATCTAAGTATATGTGAAATTTGTTTGTTATAAATCATTCGGAAAAGTTCAGAGGATTTATTATTAAATCGTCGAATTAAGTTATTATTAATCGGTAGCTTAGACGAAGTAATAACGAGGCTTTTTTCTCCCGTTTTAACAAGAAGTAATTAATCAATCGACCAATCTAAATACGAATTCTTTTTATTTGCGTGAAAAAGAAAATACTCCAAGCATTATCAAAAAATTGCGTAAACTGCGTAACACTTTATTCAATATGACTCTTTGGATAATTACAATTCAATTTTTCTTATTCTACTATTGTTGTCATTGTTAGTTTCTATTATCGTATATATCGTATTATGTTATAAAGACGTCGATATATTTATTACGCCTCTGCCTCCACTATTTATTCCAATTACAATAGCACAATATCAATTCGTGTTTTTGCAAACGATTCAACATTCTCTGCTTAATTCACGCCATTCATTAAATATTAATAATTTTCTATTAATATTAATAATAATTAAAAGGATATGATTTTTATTTTCAAACATTGTCTCCAATGCTAATGGTGTTTATTTTTTTTTAATTATTATTTGCCTTATCTCCTATTCGTGTATATACACATTCGCTGATTGAGCCTTTAATAGGATTTTATACGAAAGGAATTTTAACGATTAGGGGCTATTGATATAAATTTCAAAAGTCTTTTATTATTTTTATATAATATAAATGACAAAAAATACTTTAATGGAATTAATTGTTAAGTAAATTGTTTTATTTACAGTTTCAGTGCTATACACTGAGTATATCGAATATAAATGCTTTTATTATATTTGCACATTAGATTATCTCTACTTATTATTACAAAAATGTTCATTATATGATTTTATTAAATTATATCCACCATGAGATGTAATAAAAAAAGGAATACAGTCGAGTACATTCGGTTAGACAGCCGTTAACTTTTTTTGTATTCGATTCGCTCTACCTTTACTTCATCGCCAACCAATTGATAGACGTACGTAACAACGGTAGAACTTTGAATGTCCATTAAAACAAACGAAGGAATGACAGATCTAAAAGCACAGATTTTGCACTAATGGTTTGTATACAACAATTATTTTTATATAAAGTAAAGTTATACATCTAAATCATTTATCTTAAAAACATTTATCAAATAAATCGCTTTCATTATAATAATGAATTATACGGTAAAATTCATTATTCCATGACACATAAATATGATTGAGCTGTAATTTTTTTATGCTTACGTGTCGAGTGGATTGTATGCTCCAGTTGCGGAACCAGGATTAATATAAAACTTATTTTCATGCTCATAAGCTTCAAACTTATGCGTATGACCAGTTATCAATATATCAACATCTAATTGCCGTTGAATCAAAGCTAAAGCTTCTGGATCACCCCACGGAACAACTTGATGACCGTGAGATAAACCTATTCTAAATTGCCCAACAGTCACCACTTTTTGTTCTGGATAATTAAGATTCTAAAAACAAGTAGTATAAGCCATGAACAAATGATAGAATTAATAAACACAATATAAATGGAACAAAAATACCTCGTCGAAATCTCCCCTAACTATGTGTACATCACTTGCCAAAGTTTTCAAATAATCATACGATTCTTTTGTGCAAAGATTTCCTGTACACAATATATGCTGTATTCTACCAGGAACAAGGAGCTTTTTAAACTTGCTAGGCAGACTACTACATCGGTGTGGAATGTGTAAATCACCCAAAACTAATACAAGCTAAAAATAGTTTCGATACATCGATTTAATTACCAAATCAAAATATTTATACAGAATTTTAAAAAGTATAAAATTAAATTAGAATTAAATCCTATACATCAATAGGAAATCTAATTCATGTTTTTTTTTCTTACAGAATAAGCAATAGTTATTTTTTTTTCTTTCTTTTTATAAATTATGGCTCATTTTAATTGTAATTTTATTTTATATTATAATAACGATACATCCGATACAATATTTACACAAATATTAGAATAATGCTTTCGGTATATCATAAAATTTTTCATTATTTATAAAAACAAAAACCATTCACAATAGAATTCAAAATAATTTTTAGCTATTATATTACTACATCAATAACTAATTTATTCTAAATAACTCGTACATAAGTATTTTACTAAAAGTTAAAAAATAAATAAATAAATAAAAAAAAAAAGAAGAAAAAAAAAAAACCCAAATAAAATGAAAAAAACATGCATAAATAGTCGGTATAATTTCCAATAAATCATAAGAAATAATGAATTTTTCAAACATAAACGTAATTATACATAAATTTAATAAAGAACTGAAATTGCTAGGTTATAATTAGTACACCATAATGTGATTGTTATCAACTAGAAAATATTACTCTATTGAACGTAATTTAACTTACCATGATTAAAACTATTAGATTTATGTATTTCACGGCAAACACAATTTCTAACGATTTTATGTCGATATATAATTTTAATGATTATTCTTTAATAAGGAAATCCATTTACTAAATGTCAAATATTCCCCAGTGGGAGTGACAGTATTACTACATACCTAACCCAAACTAAAATTCTCTGTATGTCGTCGTCCATGCGTTTTGTTTTCCGGTTTCGTTTACAAGCGGGAAATCGCAGTGTTGAAAATGTTTTATGATATTATAAAGGATAAATAAATATTCCGACTCTCCGATTTTATAGGGCATTTTGATAAATTTTTACAACGATAACTGATAAAGATGAAATGTGTCGTATCAGGTGGAAATATAAAAAGTGAGTTCAATTTATTATTGCTTTTAGGTTATTTCTATCGTATAACATTAAATGATAATATAATGTAATAGTTTATCGTTTAAAATAATTCGTATTTCATTGAATAATGTTTTTAATTTATTTGACAGTTTTAGCACGTGCAATACAAATGCTCTCCAAAATTGGAGAAGAAATGTTTGTACAGCCACAAGAAGACAGTTTGTCTTTTCGATCGGTCAATGGATCGAATTCATCATTCGCAGACATAACATTTCATGAGAATTATTTCTCGTATTATGCTTATGAAGATCTAGACGAATCCGATAGTCTTAAATGTAAAATACTTATTAGAGTGAGTTAAAAAATACATTATAAATATTCGTTCTTTGGCTACTAAGTTTGTTCAAGTTTGTATAATTCTTTTAGAGTGCATTGACAGTATTTAAAATACCAAGCTTAATAAATAAGCAAATTGAAACTTGTCACATACAACTGGATGCAAATTCTACAAATCTATGTTTTATTTTAAAGTATAAAAATAATATTATTAAAACTCATTTGTTACCAATATTGGATTGTGAAACGATCAGAGTATGTTATCCGCTATATTTATATACTTTTATATATCTATAATTGTCTCACCAAGATCCTTTTTAGGCAAATTATAAGAAGGAAGGGACAGTCAATCATTTATGCATTCAGCCTCGTGTATTGAACGATGTTGTTCAAAATTTTCAACAAAATTTATTAGAAATCACTATTGAAGTTTTAAAGGATAAGATTCTTTTGAGGAATTACATAGACGAGACTAGTAGTAAGTTCTTGCTTCGATTGATTCAAACCTTTTAATTTAATTTTAATATTTTTTTAATTGTATGTTTAATTAAATATGACTGACCGTTTTTAGATTTATCAAACGAAACACGTACGCAGTTGGTTTTTGGAATGGGCGAATTCGATGAATATAAAATCAATTCAAACACTACGATTACATTCTGCTTAAAAGAATTACGAGCAATATTACATTTTGCAGAAATTCTTGCCCAACCTATTCATATACATTTTGATTGCGCAGGAAGGTAATAATATCTGTAATAAATAACGTCTGTAATAACACCATAATTACTTATTAATATTAATCTAGTAATAATATATTTTTTAGGCCAATTGTATTTATTTGTAAAACTTTAGGAGTAGAGAGTAACTTAGTTCTTGCTACTCTAAATCCAGACGATGATCTAGGATCGCAAAGTACGACGCACACACGACCGAATTCAGTGTTAAAAAATTCTGCAAAAAAACCTACAAAAGCAAAAGGGAAGATAAAATCATTGAGCAAAACAGTGTTCGGTAAATTAGCGAATAAATATCCGACAAATACAAATACTGAAAAGATCGAATCATCGGATAAAATTAGCAATGCTTCCGAAACATCATCTCCAAATAATAATAATAAATTTAATGCAACTAATTCACCAAGAGTAAACTCTGCAAAAGTAATTGCCTCCAATTCTAATACGAATAAAAGAGAAAATGATAATAGCTCAAAACAGAATGCTTTTTCATCGCTATTAAAAAGAAAATCTAATCAGGAAATTCACAGCCCTGATGGCGGCGATAAGGATGATCTCGTTCAGAATTCACCGCCAAAGCAGCCATCGAAAAAGGCGAAATTAATATTCAAAAAGTGTTTTCAAACAACATTTAATCCAGAATCATTGCCTGGATATAATAACATTGAAGTTGAGGATTCCGGTGAAAGCGATTAATTAATTAATCGTTCGCTTACTCGCTTTATTTTTGTACAATAACTCATTATATTTATGTTGAAACTGCCAAATGTCAGTGTGCAGGTAGAATGCAATGACATCGTAGGCAATTAGTATGTATGACCAAAACAGTATGCCGATAGAACTGTTAAATTTATAAAATTGTTAAACTAATTTTTTATTTTTTTATGTGTTAGTGAGTAAATTATAAAAGGAACATATTAGGAAAAGAAAAAAAATACCTATTATTTTTGTTAGAATTATTTTTGTAACAAGATACAATATACTTGGATTTTAAACATTGAATATATTTATTTATAAGAACAAAAACAATTTAAAGAAAATTTAAAAAAAATTGTTCTTACAATTTATAAACTATTCAAATGTAATATTTAATAAAAATTATACTATTATTTTTTCTTGTTTTTTTTTTTTTTTTTTTTTTTTTTTTTTTTTTTTTTTTTTTTAATTTTTTTTTTTTAAAAATTACTGTTTAGTACAAGAAAAAATATTCCATATAAAATAAACTGTGATATCCTAATTAATATAATCATTAACAATAATTTTAATAAATATATTTTTATCTTTTATTTTATTTTATTTGAGTGTCACAGTATAATTATAATATATATTAAGAACGACAATAAAATACGAGAATGAACGATTGACTTCGTATAAGTCTAGAAATTATATCTAAAATACGTTAAGTTTGTTTTTCTAATTAAGATTTGTAACTGTCGATGTAATTTTATGAAAATTATAAAATAACAATTCGTCGGGCGATTTCAACCATGTAATTTATAATATTAAAAACTTGATACATTGATGAATAAATTAATTGAAGAAAAAAAAAAACTGGAATTAAATTATTCAACGTTGTCGTGCAATACTTAATATCTATGTATAATAAGATTAATTACAATGTAAATAAAATACAATTAATTATTTAAAGCAAAGATCTGCTTATCATAATCTACAATCAATAATGACACGTAATCTTCTGTGATTCAACATTTCATGTATTTAAGCAATTTTTCTAAATAAATAAATTTTATTTATAAAATCAGTTATGAATTATTCAATTAGTTAGCAAAACATAGTATTAACATTCTCTAATTTTTAATAAGGAAAATGTCTTTGTAATATCTTTAAATAGTAAATAATATTTTTATTTCACTTATATTTAAAAAAAAAAAAAATTAAATATACATCCGTTTACAATTGTTATTAAAAACTATTTTTTAATATACTCCCTACAATTGAAAATTACATAAATTTCTGATAAACTTTTGTTTATTGGCTTATGTACCTATACGGTCTTTCGTTTCGTGTATAAATTATGTTATTGTCCCTTCGGAAATTTAATCACCGATGTACTCAATATTTTCGTATATTCAATCGATGAATATCTGCAATTTTCAACACATAACTACCGATTAACAACAATGTCAAATGCCCTCGCCTCCAGCAATGTTTAAATATTGAAAATATCGCTCCAGGGATAGTTGAATATCTTACTAAACATGTCTAAAGATTTACTGGACAGACTAATAACTAACATAATCAACCTTATCATACTGCAATCATATTCATCGTCACTAATCATAGACAATTGCAGTAAGAATAAAACTCAGTACGCAAATACACGTCGAATGATCGCTTGTACAATATATGTGTGCTTGTATATATTTTGCATAAGAATAGTCTTTTTATTTATACCTTTCAATTAGCATACAGTAGTGCAAAATACTACTAGACAAAGTTAAATGAGAAATATTGATTGTTTATAATGATTCTAACTACCGTGATTACTTACGACACGAGAAAATATATTTTATTCCGAAATGGCGATTTTGGCAAGATAGAAAATGAAATTGAGTAGACATTTTTATTAAAATATCGCTTATGAATATTCTTTATGAAAATTGAATTCATAATTAAATATTTATAAAAGTCGTATATAATTTGATATCAAAGACTTATATATTGAATATAATAAGCGCGATATGATACAGCATGTTGTATATTCTAGTAGATCCCTTCAATTCTTCATAATTCTGGTAAATAAATGCAATATTTTAGTATATATGATAAAAGGAATTTATTTAAATAAATGTTTCAAATGAGTTTGTTTAAAATTTATCTTAAGTCATTTTAAGTTTTGTAAAAGTATTAGATGGTGTAGCTTGTGACACACTATATACATTTACTAAATTTTAAAAACTTTTCTTCAACAATATTTAACAAAAACAAAAAAAAAACAAAAAACAACGGAAAATGTGATATATTTAAATAACAATATAAATTAAATGAATTTATATAACTCTATTTAAAAAAAAATCCTATTTAGATCGATAAACTGTGGCCATAAATACACTAGTAGTTTTTTTTTTTAATTAATTACACTAAAAATTAGAAATATATATTTAAATATATTGAGTATATGTGAATGAAAATTAAAAAATATCAACGTTATAATTTTTGTCGTCATGTTAAATAAAAATTTTAAATTAAATAAACCATAGAAATAGATGATAAAAACAGCAATTAACCTGAAATATAAATCTTCTTTACACGAAATTACCTTGTGCAATAAAAATTATAATGAATTTAAAAATTACTTACAACTAGTTACAATGAAGTAATTATGTAATTTTTTTTTTTTTTTTTTTTTTTTTTTTTTTTTTTATAGAAAACCTGGAAAACTTGAAGATAGTTAGAATGAAAATATCTATTAATCCAAAGGCAAAACTAAATGTTGAATTATTCTCAATGGTTCGAAGAACGATATATTTTTAAATAAATCTACACCTAAAACTGGATTCTTCTCGATGTATCCAATAGAATAAATATTAAATAATCGTTTAATCATTATTCATTTAGAACAATAATTATTCTCTGAAACTTAATAATTCATACCGCTGAACACTTGTCTCAATTTATATTGCGAGTGTATTTCAAATTATCATATATATATATTAAAAAATAACTTTTTATTACCTAATGAAACTAATAGAATTTATGCAACATAAACTAAAGGCAACAATCAGGTTTTAAAGACAAGTTTGTATTTGCAAATTCAATGATTTACAGCGCGAGAAGTGGGCTCGAGCTTATTGTGCTACAAAAAATGTTTAAATTCTTTTTAATTCTCTTTAAAGTTAATAACGTTAAATATGAATTCTGTTTTTTGATTGCATAATCTCTAAAACTAAGATATATATATGTGTGTGTGTAAGTTTATATCTCTGTTGATCTATTGTTATTGCAGGGGCACATATTTTGTAGAATTTGATAAGAGATTATTTATGTTTATTTTATATTTTGCAAATAATATTGGTTTTTAATATATTATAATATATTATAAATATAATCAATGTATTGAACACATTTTAATTAATCTACGGGCGAGAAATGTTTGAATATAATCAATGTAACAAGTAAGAGTTATTTTAATAAGTTTATTTCTAAGTTTTATTTCCTTTAAAAGCTTTAATTCCTTATTATTTTTAATTACACGTCTACCTCAAAGTTAATATTTATTTATGTTCTTTGTATCGTTGTAATATTAACACAGCTATATAAAAAAATGATAAATTTTACTAATTTAACATTACGATTCTCAATGAACGTTTATATTGTACATAAATAATGCTCGAATACTTTAAATATAAATAGTGACATTGATATATTACAATTTAATTATTAAATATATGCGTGTTGCTTAGTAAAAATTTATCTTAAATCATTTTATTGTAATATCGCTATTACCATATGTTTAGTCGTATTAATTATTGAGAATATCGTTTAGTAATAAAAAAATAATTAACGGCAAAGCGTTGATTTTAAATATAAATAATGCTTATGCTAAGATTTTACAAGTCAAAATTATGTTGATTTATGAAAATGATTATATTATTAATGAGAAAAAATTATATTCTTTATTATAAAGTGCAACCCTACTAAATTCATACTTTATAAAATCTTGATAAATTCGTAAGCTTAATAATAACATTTATCAATAAATTGAATCGATAATAAAATTTATCTTTATCATTATCGTATCGCGATCGATGGCAAAACTTCTCTCTATCTATCCAACTCTTTCTCTGTCTCTTAGGCTGAGTAATTTTTAGAAAACTTATCCCCCCCCCCACCCGCGCTCCGTCCACGTCCCGCCAACGACAGCAAACAAACACGTAAGTTTACCTTATTATACTTACGGTTTAATGTCATTGGTATGCTGACAAGTGCACCAGTTAATTTTCTTGTGTTTTAATATTATTAATTATTTGTATTTTACAGTTCGATTATAAATGGTTACATGTAAATATTTTATTTACATAAAAATGTAAATAACAAATTTTAACAAGAAGCAATTATACATTTAAGTTTATTTATAAAAAAAATAAACACATTGTATTATTGCCGACAGTTTATAAAATATTGAAAATCGTGTGTTTTGATTACGTAGTTAATTACAGAAATAGAAATAGTTTATTAATTACAAAGATTATAAATATTGAAATGTTGTTTATGGTGATTAAATTATTATTATTATCAATGTTATAAGTTAAATATCGTATCGAAAAGTATCTACTGTCATATGTGGTAATGTTTTGAAAATACACAAGTGACACGATTGTTAACAGGCATTACAAATTATCTAAAAAATAATTATAAAAATATAATTAAAAGGTAAATAATAATTATTATAATTTTAGAATATGTAATTTTGTAATGTGATGGAATTAATTTTTATATTTATATTTGAAAATTATATTTTTCAGATTTAGTAAAGCAGCAACTAGTTTTTCTAGTTATTCCTTTCCCTCTCGATATTACATGTCAGTAAATAAAATAATGATTCCATTAAATCATATACAAGCTCATTTTATAGATTTTATATTTTTTATCTATATGATATGAAGTATTTCCTGTGCTGTTATATAATTAAAATGACTAACAGTTGAAGTATGTATTAATTTAATATTTAATTTAGATAATACATTTTTACATCACCAATTGTATCTCGCTTTATCAGTTGAATATTATTATAATTATCTATAAGACTAATGAATCAATATAACCTTCAAATCATTAACAAGTATATTCATTTTATTATAAAGTAGAATTTTGTAATAAATTACAATAGTTGTTATTTCTGCAAAATTAATTTAATAATAATTTAAAGATAGGCCTGAATTAAAATTTAATTTTTTCCAGAAATGTATATGTACTATTGGTTTGGAACCAAATTACAAAATTTTTTATTTTATGGGTACAATATAATCACCACGTATGGTTTGATATCAACATGTTTGGGTTTATCAGCTTTAGCAATATTATATGAAGCTATGAAATTAATACAAATTAGATTACAAGAAATTACCAAAGAACATAACCAAGTAACAAAACCAACGCAAAACATGGATAGTTCTTCTTTAATATCGGAAACGTCTGATAAAACTATAAAAGCTTATAGTTTATCGCATTGGTATGTAGATATATATATATATATATATATATATATGCACACACATTGTAAGAACTTTATATTTGTAATTCGTTAGAGTAAATTCTTTGCTTTCATCGTGTTTTAGTTGTACATGGATGAAATGGATTTTAGAACTTTTTCATCGATGTATTCACGTTATGTTAGGATATTTCCTCATGCTCGCAATAATGACATTCAATGGATATATAAATGTTGCGATTGTATTGGGCAGCGGCATAGGCTACTATATTTTTGGTCTTATACTACTGAAAATAAATCTTGCAAAGATTAAAAAACATCATAGATTAGCTCAGTGTAATCCAGTATGTGCAGGTAAAAATATCATACTCTTAATATAAATTACGAAAATATCATATAATTTGAAATCTTTTGTAAAAAATGCACTTTCATTATACAGATGCAATAATCAGTGATAGAAGAGAATCAGCAATATCAATAATTTCAGAAAATGTAGAACCAGAATCTAATGTTAATATTGATGTTGACGTTCACATTAAAGCTGAATCTTAAAATTCAGATTTTTAATTAAATATGAAACAATTTGTGATATACTTTTTATATAATAGATATAATATCAGGTTGATAATGTTATAAATGTGTGTTAGAAAATTTTGTATGAATGTATATATATACATATATATATATATATATATTTTTCTTTTATATATATAAATATTTTATAAATTATTTTTACATGATATACTTGACATATACTTTTATTTTTGAAATACAAGTAAAATTAATTTGTTGAATTTATTCATAGTTTTACATTATCATAAATTTTGAAATTTGTATTATATCAATTTCATCAATTTCATTGTTGTTCAGCACCCGACGCGTGACCGTTTTACCATTATTTTAAAATGAAGACAAAGATCTTTAAATATTATTTTAGTATTATAGCAGAACCAGCAATTATTTGTATAGAAAATCAAACAAATGATAGAATTATATTCAGAAATTTTTATTGCTAAACTACTGAATGTTGAGAAAGTACAGTTTTGTATTTTTCTAAATTGTAAAAATAATTATGTATTACTTTATTTTTTTATGATAAATAAAATAAAGATTAACTTTAAAAAAATATAACCACCCTATATACGAACCCTAAGATAATCACTAGATAATCGAGCATTTGTTGAGTTTGATATTCAGCAAATATCTATTCTATAAAAACATTTATGTACTCTTTAATTAATTAGTTATTCATTGAAATTCATGTAGCAAGTCTATAATACCATGATAAACTTACAAATAATTTATGTACATATGTATGTGCATATATAATAATTTGTATTAATTATATTACATTAGAATAGTGTAATTGGATTTATCTCAATATATTTTATTTAAAAAATGTATATTTACCTTAGTGCACGAAGTTGAATTTTCTTATCAATAAGCCACATATCTTTTACTTACAAGCTAATTTTTTTATATTTCTGATGAACGTTTTTTTAATTTGATTGAACTTCTAGTGAATTTTATAATAAAAAGCTGTACACTCCACATTATTTATATAAAACTCATTAATATTTATTGTTAAAAATTGTGTGATAAAATCATTGCAAAAACTATGGTTTCGAAGCTTGACTTTTCAACAAAAATTAAAATCCAACAAGGAGAATTTCAGGCATTATAAATTATTATTTAATTATTCTATGGTTCATCTAATTTTTAACAAACTAGATTCTTCCCAAAATGTCAATCAATTTATTGATAGGCAACATTGTCTCTCGATGGATCATTTTGAGAAAAGCTTTTATAGAAATAAACGAGAGACAAATATTTAAATAGCATTTTCCTTTTGTTTTATTTATATCATACGTAATACTTATAATATATACGTTATACTTAAAATTAAAGAAATTTCAATGATTGAATTTGTTATGTAGCTAGCTATATTCGTTTTCATTTCACAACATGAATATTCGTTCATATTTTATAATACAACTCTTCTGTTGTACATCTTATTAGTTTAAATACTAAAATTCATCGACGTAACAGATTTCCAATTATAAGATTTTTGTCGATAATAAATTTGTATAAAATAAAACAGTAAAAATTTTTGATCATGCATTTTTCAATCGATTTGAAAATTCTTGTTGTTGTTGATTAAAAAATCTCTTATGCACGCATTTGTTTGGATGATTTACGGATTATTTAAACCAAGAACGTGTCTAATGCATAATACTTTGTATAAATATTGTATTCTTAGAAATATTCTTAAGAGTAATTGAATATTATGAATAAGCTATTTACGACTTTAGCGATTTTAGCTATTTAATTAGAACATTAAATATTATCATCCAGACCATTTCTTCAATCATCACTAGCACTACAAATATATATATATATATATATATATATATATATATATATTAAATATATTCGATACTTTTACCTTTTTTTCGTGTAGCTTTGAAATATAAGTATTTTTCAAAAAAAAAAAAATAAATAAATAAATAAATAAATAATAATAATAATAAAATAAATAAAATAAAATCACTAGTATGTGAAAATTTTGTTGCTAATGAGGCCTGTTTAATTGTTTATTATAATATTATCGATTTTATTTGAATGTTATTTTCAATTGTCCCCTATTAAATTCCACGATCGCAAATGTCATTCTAATTCTAATTGTCTTGTGAATACTTCTCATAAAGTAATATCAAATATTTTCAAATTGTTCGATCCATTCGACGTCTATATATTATTTATTTATATTATATTGAAACAGAAAATTTAAATAATAATGATCATGCTTCAATATAATTTGCATTATACGAATGACAGAAAATGTACAGATTCATCAGATGTGAAAAGAAAATTATTGCACATTTTGGCCATGCTCCAAGCAATGGTTGAATTCTTTTAAAAATTAATGATTCATCGACTACCATAGACTGACACCCATACTGTTATAGTAGTTTTTCTTTTAGCAATAATAAATTGTTTGTATAAAAAAGAATATGTTAATAATCATGGGAGTGCGTTTGGTTTTATACCTTTTGAAAGCTGTATTTCACGTTTATACTTTTAACACTTTTCTTAATAACATTATTTACATCTAATACATATTTAGTTCACTTTCGTTCTTATAATGCATGTAATTATCTGGTAAAATGGAAATGATCGCGACTCTACTAATCAGGCACTATTCATAATTTGGTCGTTTACAATAATTAAAAGCATTATTATGAAAGTACAGGCATTCCTCTTGCAAAAGTTAGTTTTGAATATGTGCTTTTTATACGAAATGTTACGGCTGTTTTATGATTTGCACATACTGAAAATTACAAGCAAAGTTGAAGAAGGCGAGTAGAACGATAATTTAATTTGTCAGACATGCGTAATAATTAATATTATTACTTTTAATGATTTGACAGCGAATGCTCACATTAGACCAGTGGATAACCATAATTTGCCCATTAAACATGCTTAGCTTCTTATATTTATTAAACATTCATAATGAGCTAATATTGAAAGCTGAAAAGTGGTTCTGATAGAAATGTTTAAATGAATTTTCAAAACTGTTATATATAGTCACGACATTACATAGTTCACGTACTAAGTAATTGAAACGTCAATCGAGAATATTGAAATACCATTAAAAGTTAATACCGGATTAATCACATTGTCGTCATTTAAAATGGAAAGTATTTTTAAATTCTCGTCCAGATATGATATAAGGGATAGCATCGCTATCTCTGTTCAAATCTACATAAACAATTGAAAATTAAAAAAATTCCTAAATGCTGATAACTTTTACAGTTAAGGATCTTACACAGATGCTCGTTGATATAATATGCAAGATAATGTGAAAGAGCCTAGTGAAAATACGCACTTTTTCATAATTTAGCCAGTTTTTTTTTTTTTTTTTAGAAGAGAACGACACAATTTGATCCGCAAAAGTGAATAACAACGATCATAATACACCATAAGAATTCATGTGCAGCTCTCGATATGCCATAAAAAAAAAAAAAAAAAAAAAAAAAAAAAAAAAAAAATACAAAATAGGAAGTAGAATCGAGCGAAGAGAAACGGTAGCAATAACGTCAAGAAATGCTGGTAAAGCCATGAGAGCCCCTTTTTACGAAATAGTGGAAGAAAAATTTAAAGACAATAAGAAAATGATAATTTTCTAATAATATCTAGACAGAACTGTACGCGATAATGTCTGCTTTTAGGCGCATTTATACAAAAGAAACTGGCTATTAGATAGTTAGGTATAGTAGTGCTCGACATTCATGATAGACAGAGAGAGAGAGAGAGAGAGAGAGAGAGAGACGTTGCAAAAGGATTAAAAACAATTAAAAATTCCCATTTGCTTCGATCTACTCAATTTGTTCCCATTTAGCAAATCATAAAAGTAGCTGTAAGTTCTTTGTATAAGAACGAAACTGATTATTACAGTCGATGTAAATATAATTTTTTATTTATATTAATGATATTAAATACTTGATATTTTTGTTTTAATATTCATAATTATACGAAAATTTTATTTATAAATTATAATTATCTCGAATTAACTACAATTCTTATACTAATATATTCAAAATAACAACGTCACTATATTGTATTTGATTTTATTTGTTGAGGGAAAGGCGGGGGGGAGTCTTTGGTTCGGTTTTAAAAGATTTATAAAATACGATATTAAAAAATTAAACCACTATTTATTTTTTCCTAAAAACTAAAAATATCATTGCGTACAAAATTATGTACAAGACTATGGTTTTAACGTAGTACTATCGCAATTTAAAAAATATTACAATTAATTCTTATAAGAAAACTTTGAGATGTACAAATACTGTCATACTATGCTTATCGTACAATACTATGTCTGATAACTTAATTAAATAATTCTCATTTGTTAATTGTATAAAATTAATATCTAAGACAAGATTTAATACAATCGAATTTATAAAAATATAATTAAATAATTATTAAACACATAAATAAAAGATTTAATTTAAAGCTGAGCATCTACAATGGAAAAGTTAATTGGCTAATATTATAAAGAACTTAATTCGTCGAGCTTACCAATTACTTCTATCTAATAACTCGTTTAGTTCGGCATCGGTATAAACTATAATGAAAATGGATTTGATTATCAATACATAATGATAGTTAATATTTTTGTATGAAGAAATTTTTTACCTTTCCCTTTAAAGTTTAAAACTTTAAATGCATCATTGTCCAGAAGATTTTTTAATTTCAAAATATCTTCTTTATTATTAACAGAAAATTCTTCCTTTGAAATAATGGCTTTTTCCAAAAATCGTTTAGCATTGGCACGTTTCATTATCAACTCATCAATCGTACCTTTATTACAAAGTCTATACACAGCGACTGGTTTTGTCTGTCCTATTCTATGGCAACGTGCCATAGCTTGTATATCATTTTGAGGATTCTAAAATAAAATTTCATTGCTTTGACAAATGTTGATGTAACAACGATAATATTCCTAATGAAAAATACTTTTTTTTTTCATAGAAATTTATATCTTTCGCTTATGTGCCAACATTTTCTAATAAATATACCAAAGTTCATTTAAATTAAAATAAATTGCAAGCAATGTCTTTATAAAACGTTTTAATATATTTTTAAAACATACCCAATCACTGTCATAAATAATGACGGTATCCGCTGCTGTGAGATTTAAACCAACACCACCGGCTTTGGTAGTAAGCAAAAAAATAAATGTATTTGGATCTGTATTAAACTTATTGATATTTTCTTGACGTGCTGCATGTAGTACCGATCCGTCCAATCTAACGTACTTATAGTTTTTCCAAGATAAATAATCCTCCAAAATATTTAAAACCATACTCATTGTTGAAAAAAGTAAAATTTTGTGATTGTTACTCTTGAGCTTTCTCAGCATCATATCGAGTACTATCATTTTACCGGAATCTTTAACAAGATCATTTATAGTTTTCCCTTCGCTTGGATCAATTAGAGGATTATAAAGTATATATGGATGATTTACTATGTGCTTATAAACCGATACTGTAACACGATAATTTATAAATTAATATCAATATTTTTCAATATTTTTAAACGTACATACTGCTATTGAAAATCCATACCATAGTTCATATATTTTATTTTTATTAAATAATTAACATTTTTTTCCGTTACATCTGTATATTTATTCCATTCTTTATAATCTACAGAATTAATATCTGCATTTCCAATTCTTTGAGTTTCACTTGTTCCGATGTTGCTCTTATAACAACCCTTTTCAAAATCAATTTTATTGGTACACTTTCTCTTTGGTCTTACACCGTCGACGTCAATAATAACAGATTCCAATTCTTCAGAATAATGTTTATTAAAATGCCTATTTAGAACGGATGAGTAAAGATCGTACTGGAGTTCAGTTAAAGGTGTATATATTATAATTTCCTTATTTATAGGAATATCCTTGCAAACGTCCTCTTTCAAACGCCGCAGCATGAAAGGTTGTAATATTTCTCGAAGCGTGGACAAAATATGTTTTTCTTCTTCTTGTTTGAATAATTTTTTTTTTTCATTCTCATCCTGCAATTGTTTAGCATCAAACCAAGCTTGAAATACTTCCAAGTCATTAAATATATCTGGTAAAAGAAAATTTAACAAAGACCACAATTCAGATAAGTTATTCTGTAACGGAGTACCCGTCAATAATAGACGATTTACTGACTCCAATTGCTTTAGTATCCTGAAATAAGTATAAGCAAAAAATTAATTACTAGAAAAAATCAAATTATAGTTACAGTAGAAAAAAAATTCTTTAAAATCTATATAAATAACAAATCGCTGTGTAATTTTGTTATTATAAAATATTTTCTTAAAAATGTTACAAGAGATAGGATTAGATAAGAAATCGATTAACTATTTAAAATTGATTTTATTTTCATTTTGAATACTTTTTAGCCTATATATTATAAATTTTAACATGTAATTTGAAATTATTCTCTTTGATAAGTATTATCATTAGAATCTATTCATGATGACTTTTATCAATTTCACATTATAAATCATATGTCTTAATACATAATTTTAATTTTTAATTTGTGAATTTATTATAAATAGTAAATCTTTTTATTAAAATAATATTAATGTTAAACGTTCTTTTAGAAATTGCAATAATGAAATTAAACTCAATTTTCTATGGGTTAAACATTTGTCAATAACTTACCATTAATACAAGACCTTTTTATGACTATAATTTTAATTTAATTATATTATTTAATTTCATAAGAATTTTGCTTACTTCAACAATCGACACCTGGTATTTTTAATTCGTTGAGCTTCGTCGATAACCATATACTTAAAATGAAATAATTTTAGGAAATAATCATTGTTCATCACCATTTGATACGTCGTAAGTATCACAGGATGTGTACTACACGATGATGATATATGTACTCTTCTAGAAATTTTATCCTTAATTGAGTTCTTTGTTTCATTTCTACCATAATAAACTACTACGGGAATCTTAGGAGCAAAACGTTGAAACTCAGATACCCAATTACCAAGTGTTGATAACGGTACGATAATTAAAAATGGTCCAGATATTTGTTTTTCTATTAAATGAGCAAAAAGAGCTATTATTTGAACGGTCTTCCCCAATCCCATTTCATCTGCTAAAATTCCATTCAATCCATTTTCATACAAAATCTTCAACCAATTAAGACCTTCTTTCTGATAAGGTCGTAATTTTCCAAGAAAATATTTTGGTTGAACAAAATTATCCGAAAAGTCAATATTCTCTTTGTTACTCGAATCTTCCTCCGACATGGATGATAACTCTTTTTGTATATCGTCATCGCTAAGCCTTAGTTTATTCTTTTTGTTGTCATTTTCCTATAAAAATATTAGAGAAAATTTCCTATTCAATAATTCACCAACCCTTATTATTTCAATTATTTAAACAAAAAAAAAAAAAAAATTTCAATTTTATGTTAGAAAATTATATTTTAGAAAGATATTCCTTATTAATGAAATTCAACATATTAGCTTAAAATTTAGTGATATTATATCTTTAAAAATTCCAATTGAAATATTTTATGTGCATTCGATGAAATATCTTATAGAACAATCTTATTTAATAATTCAATGATTTTAAATGAACTCTTTGTATCTTAAAACAGATAAATTCGAATATATCTTTCCACACTTGTCAAATAGGAATAAAATTGACTTTAGAATTAATTATTAATAATTTAATTATTTAACTTGTTTTACTTTTAATTTAAATGAGACGCCGATATAAAATTTTAAGCTCATTTAAATTATAACTTACTTTCATCTTAAAAATAGCATCGGCGCTTAATTTTTCTTTCTTTGGCGAGGATGAATCTTGGTTCTCAGCAGTTAATTTTCGTTTTCCACCAATTTTTTTATTCTTAGTTTTAAGTCTCTCGTTAAATCTTGTTGACATAAAATTAGTAAATGCTTTACTCTGTGTCAATAAATGCATTAATCGTTTATATTGCTTTTCTTGAATATCTCTTTCATAAGCTTCTCGATCCAAACGCTTCTGTTCCAATAATTCTGTTGTCCAAAATGGTTTTCGTTTCTTTATGTCAATGCCAAGATCTTTTGTTACAAATTCAGCATCAACGAACTTGATCTCCTCGCTATCAATTGCATTGTTATTTTCTTTTATCGTAGGAACCCCAGACTCTACGGTATAAATTAAAATTAATTTTAAAATAACAATGATGATGACGATAATAATAATAATGATAATAATAACAACAACAACAACAACAACATCAACAACAACAACAACAACAACAACAACAACAACAACAATAATAATAATATACAATTAAATAATAATGAAAAATCTAAAAAATACTTTTATTAATCAACTTTTTACTCTGAAAAACGAGGTGAACACTAAACCAATGATTCGAAGTGAAAACGATAAATAATTGTTTCCCTTACCCAAGTTAACCGAGCCATCCGAAGTACTAGAAAATCCAGAATCCTCTGAAATATTGGTTATTTCACGATTAATTCGCTCTAATTGTACAACAGGCTTTTTTTCTCCAACAAGATTTTGTAGATCCAAAGGTAATGAATCCATATCCGAATCGTTATGCTCAGCAAAGCTGCAGCAAATCTTATTTAAAATCTTCTGTCCTATATTATATATCTGCTTGAAATATTTGAAAACTTAAACAAATAAGACACTATGGTTTGCAATAATCAACAACTTTGAGGAATATAAAAAAATACACCACGTGATGGAATTAATCGCTCATCAGTCGCTAAGTGAAAGAAGCAACTAAAATTCACAATGGACGTTTATCGTCGCTTTTCCCGCCAAACGAGCTAACCTAGCTTCACCTTACCCCTCTCGACTCTGAGAAATAGAAGCAAAAATTATTTGAGCACACGAGGACGTTGAATATAGTTGAAAAACATTTTTAAAATATTATTAACGGTAGTTCATTATGCGACTACTTCGGCTTTGTTAATTATTTCTCTTGAACTTAAATACTATGAGCTTTGAAAAAATAATTCCGATATAATCGTCGTTATAAACGCATTTTCCAACGATCGACGTTAATGTGAAACTTATATATTAATATCTTAATGTAGCCAGGCACAATAGAGAAGTTCAATTTAATTTTAATACGAAAGAATGGTAAATATTTTACTATTTCATTGGTAAATATTTTTTATTCAATATTTGTTATTTACTTTATATAGGCGAATATATTATATTGGCAAAATCACAGGAGCATTCGAATCTAACAAAAATACATTAAAATTCATAATAATGTTTTTTTTTTTTTGTAATGAAAAATGGTATGTAATTATGCTTTGAAAATTGTAATCTTTCGGTTCTATTCGTTTTTAGTATTTTAATAGAATATTTAATGTGCATGCGGTGAGCGAGCCGTTTATATATAATAACGATAATGATAATAATAATGAAAATCTAAAATGTATTCAATAATAGGAATTTAAGAATCCGTTGCGAATTCTTTATAATACAATTCTTTCAAAAAGTACATTATACATATGTATTTGCGAAGTAATACAAGAATCCTCGGTTATTTACTAAAATTTACTATGTCTAACGTTCCTTAAAAAATAAATAAATAAATAAATAAATAAATAAGTATATTAAAAAAAAAAAAAAAAAAAAAAAAAAAAAAAAAATGAAGTTCGATATATTAAAAAAAAATATATTTAATTTTTATTATTTATTATCGTTTAACCAATCCGCTTTTAATTTTATTTTATAAATAAACAATAATTATTTCAAATTTTACGAATAAAAAATTATTAATTAAATCTGAAATTTTAATATAATAATTGAAATTAAAAAGGACATTCAAAAGCGCGTGAGTAAAAAATTATATATGATAATGAGCATTATTGAAAAGTGGGCATACGTAATTACCAAAGAAAAGAAAATCAAAATCATGCAAATACAGTTGTTATACATTGCTTTCCCCAAGGGTTTTCCCAATAATTAATGACGTCGCCCAAGACCTTCCCCATTTTGGTATTTCACAGTACACGGAATTTTACTCACAGTTTTGAAACTCCACAGGCAAAATACGTCGGCCCAATTGAAGAAAAACCCCAAGGTATTATAAGCATATGCTTGGGAGTGTCTGTATAAAACCGATGGGAAAGGATATAATTTGGGCTACAGGTACTACTAATTACCCGACGAGAATTATTTAATTACTATAAAGTTTATTTCCCCGATTGTTTTTCATATTATCATTAAATCCGTTTATTCCACGTTGAATTCCACATTATTAAAAATGTTTATTTTTTCACAAAATGTCACAATAAGCAAGTCTGAAGAGTTAATTTATTTTCAAGTTAATGATAGATTATTTAATATCGCAAATACAAAGTAAATTTTCATCGCTAAATCGTCACTTTACATCGTAACACTAAAGATCACGCATACTGTTATATCTTATAAATAATTAAAATAACAAACGTGAGCGTGAAGTATATAATAATAATTTTTAATAAAAAAATTAAAAAAAAAAAAAAACGAAAATAAATATATATATATATATATATATATATATAATCAAAATAGCTATTATTATTTATCATTTAATTGCATTTAATAGCAATAAAATAAGATTACGATAAAATGGAAGAGAAGAAAATTACAATAAAAGAATAATTTTTTAAAAAATTTTACTTTACACATATATATATATATATATATACATGCGTACATACATAAATAAATACATGCATATATATGTATAAAGATTGCATGAAAAAACATATAATATTATGATTGGATTAAAAGTATTCAATTATTGAAAAGTTTTAATGAGCGTAATTGTCAGAATTTAATAAATTAAACTATTCATTCATGTAGGGGAAAAGTGACTGCGATAGTAAACAAAAAATTGACAGACTTCGAAGAATCAGACATAAACTGAAACTGTACTAAATTCAAAAGTACTTCTGCGTAAAAGCAGAGGCTTAACATACTAATAGGGTTGGTTAAATAAATAAGAAAGGGATGTAGAGGTGGAGAGGGTAAGGACGAGAATAGGGACACCCGGTTTTACGTGCTTTCTGTCAGTTAGCCTTCAGAAGTTTAGTAGTGGTGGTGTGCTTTGGGTGTCGACTGTCAATAAATGTTGTGCTCCTGATTTACGTTTAGTTTGTGATTCGACGGCAAGAGGAGTTTATCTTTCGATTAACCGCAGGATATTTATTTGAGATTATTAGAGGAGATCTGAATGTTCGAGCAGTATTATAGAATAAAAAAATTTTATTCAATGATTTTGACTTTCGCTGGTGCAGGGTAAGTATTTGAATTATTGATAATAACGTCCATTAATTCTTCGATTAAAATACATTGTAATGTAACATATACTTTAACATATTACATAATAACATTTTATTAACAATATTAATTATCATCGTGTTGGATCGCAAGACGTTAAAATCGTTAAACTCTATAATCAATATTATTTTACTAGTTATTTGAATAAGATATTTATTAAAATTTTAATATAATAATGTGTATATAATTTACATAAAGTACGTGAATAATTTTGCAATAAAGTTGTGGAATTAAATGCTCGGCGATGGAACATTTTGCTCTGTCAATGAGAGAATACGATAAATTTGCGATAAATGTGCCTTGGCTCGCTAAGACGTCCAACCGTAAGTTGGCCCGTCAATCTGTATTTATTGCAATATTCTGAAAGTTTCTGAACGAAACAATAGTGAAGTGCAGGTCTATGCACGTCGAATGTTCCCTTCCCACCAGTCTAATCTTTTTTAATCACTAGTGTCTGTGGTAAGTTGTGCAGGTCGAAGGTTCGTCACGTATATTACATCAATATAAAGACCGTTTTATTATACTATATTTATTAGGATTTTATTCGGAACAAATTTAAAAACTGCGACGGAAAGTAGACAAACCTTTGGGAAAAGCCCGATATTAATAATATTAAATTTATCCCTTTGAGTTGAATAATTTTTTCATTTTTATATTTTAAAACGGATTTTATGTAGTTTTTTTTTTTTTTTTTTTTTTTTTTTTTTTTTTTTTTTTTATTTATTGATTTATTAACTTCTATTTCAATTTTATTTTCATTCTAATTCATACACTCGGTCTCTGATAATATTCATCAACTTTTACTAAATGAGTAATTTAATAAAAGGTATTACTAGTTTATTTGTAACAAACGCATGCTTTAGATGGAAATTTTCTATGTAATTTCGTGATACATAATGGTAGAGAAAAATTGTTAACTTTTAATTATTTAAATTCTCATTAATTACTAAGACTTTAAATACAACAATAAAAATAACAATAAAAATTGTTACATTCATTGTTGCTTGTAATGTATAATTACTGCTATGTTATTTATTTTAGTTTTACACTTATTATTATTTATATTAAGTACCTTCGTACCTTTGGTTTTACAGAAATTCCGGAATTATTTTTTAACTTATTATTTCACGAAACGACTATCATTATTAGATACATTTATTTTATTTTATTATTATTTTCAATTGATAAATAGCCTTGAGGACTTAAAATTAACGAATTGTAATATTATTGTCTATAATAGCAATATTTATCAGTAATCGCTTATTATTGATAAAATTTTCTCAAGCGTTGAATTTGTCTATTCTTCGTTCCTATAATTTACTATAATTATTAATACTATATTTACATTTATCTAACAATATTAATATTTTTAAATATATAAGAAACAGAAAATAGTATTGCATAAGTTATTATAGATTATAATAATTGGTATGATCTACAAAAGATTGAATTAATTTGTTATAATTAACAAGTATTTTTTTTAACATTTAGATCTACTTGATTTTCATTAAAGGTTGAAAAATTACTTCGTTCGCTTATGATAAGTGAAATAAATTAACTATATATTATTACTAAATATGGCATTTATTATCAAATTCAAATAGATCATATTATTATTTATAATTTACCTTACATTACATTACTTGAAACTTTGGTGATTAGACATCATTCAATTTGTTATATTTCATCATAAAACTCTTTGTATTGACGAATTAAAGAATTATTAGATTTATTTAATAATTTATGAAGTTATTTGATAACATAGAACCTATTTGTTCAGATTTTCTTAAACGGAAGTAAAAAACTATTATAATGGTTGACAGTTTCAATTATTTCTAATTGTTTCTCCCTTTAATTGTCGATAGTGTATATGAATTTTAATCATTGACTTATAACAAAATATGATGTCGATAATATAGTTATTTAAGATTTAACAAATCAACTTCATCTATTTTACTTTGGTTTCAGACAACTAATATAAATTGACATCTGTTTATAATTACAATTTAATTCTTATTCATCGGTATTACGTGCACATTTGTGGTCAGAGAATATTTTTTTTTTATGTAACTATTTATAAGCACATTTATTAAAATTTACAACAAAAATAGACTTAGTAATTTTTTATACTAATGATAAATTATGGAATTATTTTGAAATAAATCATTTTTGAAATTTCAATAACGAATATACAATTACAAATTAGTATTTGCAATTATTAGTGAGTGTAAATTATAAACAATAAAACATTGCAATAATCGTAAATGAATAGAATATTTTATTAAATTAAACAAACAAAAATGCAACACCTGTAGATTAATTCCTTCACCAATATCATTTACTTTTAACTTTTTTGTATAATAAATAGCATTGGCAAAATATATATTTATTTTTATTTCATTACTTATTATTAATACTAATTACATAATACTAATACATAACTAATTACTTATTATGTTGGTTGAAATAAAATATTATAACTTTATTTAAAAAAAATATTTACCATCTTTAGTATTCCACAGTATTATTTATTTAATCAAATTTATTTTTAATTACTTTCTGTTATTTTTTTTTTTTACGTTGTTTTACAATATCATCGGCAATTCTTTCTTCTTACGATTGAATCTCCATTTTATTATTTTTAAGTTTGCAATACAATTCTCAAGTAAAAGAATTAGTTTCTTCGAAATGAATTTAATGTATAATAAATGGGCGCCTGCCTCTGATAATTTTATTGCAAATCCCAATTAATATAATGTATTAGAAGTATTGTGTCGGACAATAATTCAGAGATTATTACTGGCATTGAGAGTGAAATTGTTAATTACACAACCAATCACGTAAATTGTTTCGATTCGAAACTAAATGCAATAATATCCAATGCTTCTTACCCTCTCAGACAAAAATATCAGGGAACGCGAGAAAATAATATTACCGACTATGTGCTTTCTTCTTACTTACAATTCATTTATTCATTTATCAATAATATTAGTCAAATTAATGATTATTAGTTGATAAAGCCTATGAATTCTCATTTTTTTGAGAAAGAAAATGCTTCTGTATAAAATATCTACAGCACAGTAAATATTTAAGTAAATTAAAAAATAAAATATTAAATCGTTGCCATTGTCGATGATAAAATCGATATATACTTGCATAAATAAACTTTTTATAAATATAATGATTCTGATATATACATATACATATATTTAATATATCGACGCGGTCTGAAATCGCGAGCAAAACATACAAATAAAGGTGAAAAATATTTTGAATAACCATTCATCGCTTAGGAAAAAAAGCATTAAAATTGAAACGCGCATGTTCCCGCAACGCAACGTAAATATAAAAGGAAGCATTCGAACTTGCAGGCAGAAGAAAAGCTGCCAGGACGCGATGATGCGGCTCTTGGTCCTTATACTGGCATTCGCCGTCCCGAGCCTCGGAGTTGCCGCTGCTGTCGGCTTCGACTGCCCGGAGAATCTCCAATGCGGTTGTTCACCGAGCGGCAACGGCGAGTTGGAACTCGTCTGCCCGAGCGGCCTTCTCTCGAGCTTCCATCTAAATGTTCGTTCAAATGATTTGGCCCGACTCCGCTGCAAGGGTAATCCCAGATGGCTGGATCTGTTGCCCGGGGCGCGACTCGCGGGCACACGCCCCAGGAGCCTCATTCTCGTGTCTTGTCCACCACCGGGGCGAGTGCAAACGGAGCGGCTTGTCGAACAGCTGGAGGCGCGTGATCTCGAGTACCTCGCCTACGAGGCCCTTCAAAGTGGCCCGAGCGCCATTAGTTTGAGCGCCTTCCCCGAACTCCGCTATCTCGTGCTCTCGAATAACCGCATTGGCTCCGTCGTACCGGACCTTATCAAAGGTGAGTTAGCCTAATGATCGATAGTGACTCGATCGATGAATTGCCGAGCTTTTATTTTTAGCCCATCTCCAACCGATTCGTCATTTCCAGGTCATCATTTTTCATTTTTCATTTTTCATTTCCAGGTCTTCCGAAATTGATGCAACTGGAGCTTCGGAATACGAATATTCGTATACCGCCGAATTTTTTTGAGAAAGCGAGCTCGCTGAGAACGTTGGAGCTGAGCAGTAATAATTTGAAAGATCTGAAGCCTGGGATATTCGACGGATTGACAAATATTCGGCTTCTGAATCTTTGGAAAAATGACTTGACGGAGTTGCAGTCGGGTGTCTTTCGCGATTTGACCTCCCTAGTATCGCTCGATGTTCATCAAAATAAAATAAGCCATCTCACGATCGACGTCCTCAAAGATCTTAGCAATCTCGAAGTGATCAATTTCAGTTCGAACAATTTTTCGGCTTTGCCGGATAATTTATTTCAGAATAATCCTAAGCTGAAAATCGTCAAGCTCATGTACAATAAGGCCAATCTGACTGTACTTCCGCGCAAGTTCCTCAAGAACCTCGTCAACTTGAAATTCGTCTCCTTCGTACGCAGTGGCTTGCAACGACTGCCGGAAGATTTGATTTGGGGCTCCATAAACATCGCCGATTTCAATTTAAACAAGAACTACTTGACGGCGCTGCCCGCTAAGCTTTTACAAGACGCCATCGAATTAAGCACCTTCGCCGCGTCCTTCAATGATTTGAAGAAATTACCCGATGGATTCTTTTCGAATACTCGAAAATTGAGGAAGCTCGATCTATCGAAAAATCACCTGACGGCCATTAACGAGTGAGTTAATAATTTATTCGAATAATATTCCATCTTTATGCTATTTGCCAAATAAATGATTTTAATAGTAATGCTGAGAAATGCAGTTCCTAAATGTTTTAATTTTTGATTCGATAATACGTCGAGGATTCTGTAGGGATGAAATTAATGAAAGATATTCTAACATCTAAATTTCATTTCCAAATTCTTTCATAATATGTAATTATATAAACGATACTCTCAATTTCTCATTGACAAGTCTTTTTTTTTTCCTTTTTTTTTTGTTTTTTGTTTTCGTTACATCACAATCAAAGATTCAACCATTCACCTGAATTATATATGTCTTCTATATTTTATTTTTTCTAATTTTATATTTGTCTTGCATAGGCGTACTTTGGAAGGGCTGGTATCGCTACAAGAGCTCGACATGGAAGACAATGATTTGACTTTTATTCATTTTAATGCCTTTAATTCTCTCGAGGAACTTAAAGTTGCAAGATTTGCCAATAACAAATTGACTTTGCGCACAGGCATATACGATATATTCGGGCACATTTCGCCCTTCCAGCCTTGTACTTCTCTCGAAGAGCTTTATTTATCTTATAACAATATTACCGAAATATATAGCGACTGGACAACGAGTAGCGCTCGTCTCCGTGAACTTGATCTCTCTTACAATTTACTTGATTATTTGCAGGTAAGCTATTAAAATTTATGTAAAAAATTTTCTTCTCCCTCTTCTTAATTTTATAGTAAAAATCAATGAATATTTTTCCTTTTATTATTTGTACAAGCAACGATAATTTGGTCGAAACGAAGTCGAATTTATTGAACTGATAAACATATTATTTGTGCTATATGATAAAGACTGCTGTTTTTTTTTTTTTTTTTTTTTTTTTTTTTTTTTTTTTTTGCAATAACTCGTAGAGGCAAAAAAGCAGCGAATAGTGGTGAATTTTGATGGGGCACGATATAAGAAATTTTAATCAGATTATTATGAATTTTTCTTTGACGATAATTCTGTTTAATTTTCTAACACATTTTTACACAATTACTCATCTGAAAATTACCGTTTGTATCCCAATAACCGGAAGCTCGTATTGTCGAATTGAATACGTAATCAATAAGAGAGGCGTTTCTTTGTTATTGATAATAAAGTAATCAATACAGTACATATCATAATTAGACTTCAATTCGATGCACTGAATTTTTCACTGAAAATATTTTACGAATAATGTGTAGTCGCAAAATATTGATACACTTTTTCACGATTATTATTTATTTTGTAAACATTTTTTCAATACAACTTCTTTACGTAAATATGTATATAAATTACGTTATTATATTGGCGTAGCATCTTAATTCTACTCGTACAATGTCCCCTTTGGACTCACATTTTTATGAATACAAACAATTAGAGAGCGATACAACAGCATTAAAGAGCGTTAATTTTGAAATTTAATTAATCCAAAAACAAAAGCTTTAGAATTCGTTTATACATAATAATACGTTAAATCTCATTTGCGCAAAACCATTTAATTACGTATAGAGATACTTTATTCTTCTCTTCTCATTAACGAATGAAAGGCTCGGGGTCATGAAATACAACCATTATCAGAATATAAATCACAGGCACCTTGAAACAGGAACGCTAAGACTTTCCCCTATATCCTGAAATTAAATATTTCATCCTTTACTCTTTGATCATTTGAAAATCATTTCTATAACATTTTATTACTCGTAACATTATTTTTCACCTATACTTTCGCTATTTCTACTTTATAAACTAGACCTCGTACGCACCACATTCTAAATATTACAATTTCTTGTACAATATCATCACTGTATTACTAATCTGATTACCATCTCTGCTCGATCAAATATTTACTTATTAAAAAAATACTTTTTTTTTTTTTTTAATGGAATTTAGAATATTCTACGGTTGCTCCACAAATGATAAAAAAAAAAAAAAAAAAAAAAAAAAAAAAAAAACGTAAAATTACTATTTTCACGTTATTTTTATCGGCATTCTCTACATAATTTTCAAGATGCATAGGCCAGCTACTCAGACGCGTGTGTATTACTTAATTTACAGACAGATGATCTACAATTCGTATCGAAGAGCGTGAGCCTGGACCTGCGCTACAACTCAATTAGCCAAGTAAACCTGGAGCGGTTGGAGCGCGTCTCAGCGAATAAGAGTTTCGTTGAGTCCCGCTACGTGCACGTCCGCCTCGAAGAAAATCCGATTCACTGCGACTGCGATCTGTACTCGCTGCTGCGCTACGTAAACAAGGAGATGTCAACGGCGGCTCTTAACTACATGCGCCTCGAGCTCGGGGGCCTGAGCTGCTCGAGCCCCGACTACATGAGTGGCCGCAAGCTCACCGAGCTACGGACGAAAAAGCTCAAGTGCCTCATCCAGAGCTCGTACTCGAGGCCGGGTGACCCTTGTGGTTCCGACTCCCCTTGCGACTGTTGGTTGAGACCCGCGGACCGAGCGCTGATCCTAGATTGCGCCGCCAAGAACCTGACTAGGCCGCCACCGTGGATCGACGCGCGCACCGTTGAGCGCATCGAACTCGATCTGGCTATGAATCGTCTCGAAGCGATGCCGGACATGAATGTCAAGGGCTACCAAAAAGTGCGTACCTTGAACCTCTCGAGGAACAATATCGACCGAGTCCACGAGAAACTTATTTCACCAAATCTCGAGGTAAGTAACGTTTTACTCCTTCTCCTTCGTCATTTGCTTTGTAAAATTTTTACAAATTCCAATCTCGGGCACACAGTGACTCTATAATATAATAGATACTTCACTTTTATTATACAAGTGAATGGTAATTTTGAAAACTCTTATTATCAAGCAAAGCAAGTAATTAATAACCGAACGACCTTCTGTATTTGGGAAAAATAATTTTATAAGGGATATATATATATATATATATATATATATAGGGAATTTTCGAAAAGTTTTCTCGTGTAAGCAGGCATAATGCTAAGCAACTACTTAATATGCTAAAATATACAACGTCCTAGAAAATTGTACACACTGGCTTTAATCATTCAAAGAATTTTTATATTACAGCAGTTTTTTTTCTTTTTCTTTTTCTTTTTCTTTTCTTTTTAATAGCTTGTACCTATTGCTTCGCTCGACAAACAAAAGAGTATAGAAAATTAGAATTTTAAAATTTATTCAGATAAAAATCCAAAGAAAATAATTAAAAAGCTCTATGTAAATTTGTAATTCGTTTTTATTCAATATTAAATTGAAGTTAAATGTTAATTCAGAGCGATGACCCATCAAAATAGAAGCTAACGATCAATCGAAGAGTATAACAGACGTATCTCGAAGAATAATTTCAGTGTGAAAAATTTAACAACACAATGAATAATACGTTCGGCTAATGTACGATAAAAATACGTTTTATAAAGAGATAGAATTTCGTATGATTTCCAATGTCGAACGAGAAATGGATTATTTTCATCCTTACTCCTTTCTTCTTTCTCGATTTTTTCCTATTCCACGTAAAGTGCCGTAAAAACCTCTTATAATTTTTCCCACAGATTCTTAACTTGGACGGTAACAATCTGACGTACATCGATCTGAAGATTCTAAGGAAATTCTCGTCAAATTCATCGCTCACGTCAAAATTGACGCTCCATGGCAATCCTTGGTATTGCGATTGCAGTACTTACGACCTTTTCACTTTCATCCAGTCCAATTCAATCAGAATGCCAGAGCTCCTGCGCATCACCTGCTCCAACACCAACGTCTCGCTCTCGAGCATCTCCCTGTCGGAGCTCTGCACCTCGAACAACGACACGGTGATCCTCGTCTGCTCCTTGGTGTGCCTCCTGGGGCTGCTGGTCGGTGGCGGGGTGGCCCTATACTTCCGCTACCAGCGGCAGATAAAGGTCTGGCTGTTCTCGAAGAGCCTCTGCCTGTGCCTCGTGAGCGAGGAGGAGATCGATCGGGACAAGAGGTACGACGCCTTCATCAGCTACTCGCACAAGGACGAGGAGTTTGTGGTTAAGGAGCTGGTGGGGAGGCTGGAGGAGGGACCCCGGCCCTATCGACTCTGTATTCACGTGCGCGACTGGTTGGCCGGCGAGTGGATACCTACGCAGATCGCACGGAGCGTCGAGGAGTCCAAGCGCACGATCGTCGTACTCTCGGCCAACTTCATCGAGAGCGTCTGGGGCAGACTCGAGTTCCAGGTCGCCCACAAGCAGGCCCTCAGCGAGCGTCGCGCCCGCGTCATCGTCGTCCTTTACGGCGACATCGGGCCCACCGAGAAGCTCGACCCCGAGCTCCGGGCCTACCTGCAGATGAACACTTACGTCAAGTGGGGCGACCCCTGGTTCTGGCAGAAGCTCCGCTACGCGATGCCGCACTCGTATGTCTCGCCTATCACGCATAGTTATAACAAAACGGAAGAAATTTAATGAAAAAGGCCTCGCATTTTCTTTATATTCTTATCAATCGATTTACATGTAAGCACATGTAGTGTCTACAAATTATTTCACATAAAATGACAAAGAGGCAGATATATATATATATATATATAGAGAGAGAGAGAGAGAGAGAGAGAGTGAGACTGATTAAACTACCTTATAAATTGGAAGTATGAATAATGAAAATAGACAGAGAATAAGACTGCAATTCTTATATGTTGACAAATTACTAGTTTCGTTATATTTAATGAATCGGTAATGATTCATTATTTGTTAATCTAGACAAATCTTTAAATGTAAAAGCGCGAGAGGAATGCTTGTCTCAGCATTGAAATTGTACATTGTCGGCAAGAATTTGAAGGGAGGATTTTTTTTTTTTTTTTTTTTTTTTTTTTTTTTTTTTTTATGTAGTTTTAATAAAAGAACAATTATCAACGAGAAAACTAACGAACGTAAGATATTTAAAAGGACAAATAAAATGTAACTGTTTAAGAGACTAATACTTTCTGTTTGGATAGGCATGTATTATAAATATAAATAATAAAACTATGAATTCTATCGATTGTTTCATTGTATTTAATGCACTTAATTTTAAGTGAGAAGAGAATTAGAATTATTTAATAAGTAATAAAAATAATTTAAAACGAAATATGTTTACTGATATTCTTTTCTTCTAAAGTACGAAACCCACCTGTCCTCTAAATTTGATTTTTGAGGTGCACAATCGATAAGCGGTTTGTTCATTAGAATGACTCGAGCTTGATCATATTTGCAATACCTTGATTAGTCATCCAATAGCTAATTGGATTGTAAGCATGTGATTCATATGTTGCATTAATTTGCAAAAGGATTTTTAATTTTCGCATTTGACCAATTAATCTTCGATAAATCGTTATGATCGACGGCAGTGCAATAAAATTAAATGTAATCGCTTGACAATTACCGGGACAAAATAGACAAATGTAAGTGTTGCGTGTTGGCTGTTATTGTTTCCACCAAGTCAAGCACTTAGCCTTACTACTACTACTTGAGCTCTACATCCCTTTCATTTTAAATAACATTTTCTCACAAATCAACCATTTAAGTAATGTTTACTCGACAAATTAAAGTCTACTCATTATAATCGAATTATTTAATGACTATTGAAATTGTTACCCTTTAATTAATTTCTTAATATAAATTTTGATTATACGTACAATGCTTATTGTAGCTAAAATGAAAGAAGCAACTTAATAATTTAGCGAAAAATATAATGCGCGTAATAGGAATGAATTGAGCAGCAAATATTTCAATTTTAATTATTCAAATCATTGAAAATTTTAGTCGGACGATTCGGTTCTCGTTAAATATGGATAAACTAAATATTAAGATTAAGATGAAAGAAATCATTATTATGCGTTGCGAGACGTCGCGTAAATTTTGTCCAATAATTAGAATAAATTTTTTTATTATATTTTTATTCACTTTATTATTACAATTGAATCACAAGGTAAAAACAGAAATAACAATAATGTTTCTATACAATATTAAATTACCGCTTAGCTGTACTTAAGAATAACGAAATTTCAAAAAGGGCATACTTTGTATTTTGAAGAAATTTACTTGTTTGCAATTTACGAATATGTGCATACAATAATTATAAACGTAATTGTATTATTAGCTGGAAAATCCGGGAATATAATGGGGATTAATATTTTCCTTGAATAATTATGCACAAATATACTATTAGATAATGCGAAAAGAAAAGGTTCGAATAAGATAAGTGGGTGTTTGGAAAATAAATTATTCACGAGCTAGAAAAAAATACGTTAATTGTTTGGAGAAAAGATTTTAAAAATTTATTGTGTTCAATGACATGACTCGCGCAAACACAAATTTTGTATTTCGCATTGCTTTAAAGTGCCACTACAATTTACCCGATTAGGCGTAAAATTATTTAATCGAACCGTAAAACGACAGCTCGCACTCACTTATAATATAAATGACGAATGAAATTATAATTATTACTAAATAATTTCTATTTTGTACGGTTCTATTTGGTATGCAGGTCAGCGCGTAAAATTAAAACGAGCTACGAAATAGCATTGGAATATGTAATTAAAATACTTAAAAATTGAATTTTATAATTTCTATAAATGAGTCACGATTACAATCCAAACTAGTTATATAAGTTTAGATTTCAACTGTACGATGACATTACAGTTTTTAATTGCCGACTTTTTATATAAAAAAAAATCGTTTGTTCTACATTATTACAATTGTTTTTTAGCCCTATTATTTATCCATAGGATCCGAATTAAAATTTTTCATAGTAATTTTCACCTGTGCCATCGGGTGCAAAACGACATTTCAATTAGAAAATCGTTTGCATAGTATTTCATTTACGATTTCCCAAAAAAGGCATCAGTGTCTAAAATTTCAATAGACCCTGCGTGTAGTAAGAAGATACGAACGTATCACTTTGGCGACATGGATTTGAAATCAAAACACATTCTGCACAGTGGATTGTTTCACCCTACGTTGAGATTTTGGCAGTCATCGAATGCGGAAATTACAACGAAACATATAATGCTTCCGATTTTTATTTTGTGAGTATATAAACATAACCTCTCAGAAGTTAGCCAAAAGATAAGTCAGTTGCATTATAAATTTATTTTGAAGTAAAGCAGATTGAAGGTAATCTTGCAAATACGGACAGAAACGTTTTTTTGCGTTATATAGTTGAACTAATTTGCAAGTTCACTTCGACCATAGATGGTAATTCAAATTTCGAATTTTAAATTTATATTACAGAGATGAACCTAATGAAGTTACTGACATACAAAGTATGCCAGGTATTAAGAGATATGGAATTAATAAATTAAACGACTTTCTAACGCCATTGATAGGAAAAGGATTAAAATCTGTTTTGTTATTTGGTGTAGCGGACAATATAACTAAAGTTTGTATAAATGTTTATTATATAATTTTAATCTATTCTTTTTACAATAGCTTTAACTGCATTTCATCATAAAGCTTTTCTTTTTGTTTTTTTTCATTCTAACAATATTTATTAACATTGGCAGTGGAAATTATAAAATTATTTAATATGTAATTTGGTTATTAAATGCAATGTGAAACGATGGAAGAAGTAAAATTTGATTGAATGAAATAGTGTATGAATAAATAATAAATACTTGTTATGTAACTTGTGAAGAAATTTACAATTTGCATCGAGATAGAGGCACGTACGGTTTTCTGATAAAGATTTAATTTAAATGCATATTGTCTTTTAGGATGAAAATGGAAGTGGCGCGGATCAATCAAATAATCCAATTGTTAAGGCATTGCCCTTATTAAGATTGTGGTTTCCCGATTTAATAATAGCTTGCGACGTATGTTTATGTTCGTATACTAATCACGGGCATTGTGGAATTTTAAATAAGGATGGCACAATCGACGATAAAGCCAGTATTAGGCGTATTGCAAATATCGCCGTCGCTTATGCAAAAGCTGGTAAACAAACTACTTATTACGTTAGTTATGGTTTGGAAAAAATTTTGTATTTGTAATATTTTAGGAAATACCAATTCTTCGAGTATTATATAAATGAATTAGCAAAAAATGTTTTACCTTAGCTTTATAGCCAAGTAAATCAATATCTTTGATTAGTATTGAAAAAAAAAAAACATATTAAGCTCAAACGATGCACAAACTTCTAATTAAATAAAATATTTCTTTTTTACAAAATCCGATATAAAAATATTTAGTTCTATTTTGATATTACAAACAATTTATACAGCTTTGTATTCATTGGCAGTTAGAATGTTGAAATTAAATTATTAATAGGAGCTCACGTTGTTGCACCATCCGATATGATGGATGGCAGGATAGGAGCCATAAAGGCTGATCTAGCCGCTGCTGGATTATCTAATAAAGTGGCCGTTTTATCGTATGCTGTAAAATTTGCCTCCAATTTTTACGGTCCATTTAGAGATGCTTCGAAATCAGCGCCAAAATTTGGTGACAGACAATGCTATCAATTGCCTACGACTAGCAGTGGTCTAGCAGCCAGAGCAGCCGTAAGTTTTGTCATCGGCCAACGTAAAGTAGAGTAGAGTAGAGTAGAGTCGAGAACAGTTGATATATTAACTATAAAATCCATTTGCTTCTTTAATGTATCTAGGATGCAATTACAAGGATATATTCTTACTAAATACTCAAACATCGTTTATTTGAATCGTAGGCTAGGGATATCGACGAGGGAGCCGATATGCTAATGGTAAAGCCCGGTATCGCATATTTGGATATCGTTAGACAAACAAAGGCTGCTCATCCAGAGTATCCAATATTTATCTATCAAGTGTCCGGAGAATATGCTATGTTGTACCACAGTGCTAAAAGTGGTGCTATTAATTTAGAATCCGTGCTGAAAGAAGTTCTTCTGTGCATGAGGAGGGCCGGTGCAGACTGCATAATAACATATTTCGCACCTGTAATTTTGGATATGCTTTATCCAAAGAGTAAATATTAAAGTTATACAGTAATTTATTAATATAAATGCTTTAGTTTCTTAGATATGCATCCTAGCTGGAAGAATAAGACTGGCTTGAAAGAAAGAAAGAAAAAAAAAATGTACAAAAATGTAAAAAAGATCAATGTAAATGTATAAAATTGCAATTTTTAGTTTAATTTAAGATAGACTCTATATGTTTACAGCCTTTTTTTTTTTTTTTTTTTTTTTTTTTTTTTTTTTTTTTTTTTATCACTCATTTACGTCGCCATTCCTCAATCGCAATAATACTAGTATTGGATTTATTTTTGTATTTTTTGATAATTTGTTATCAATTTTAAGTCACATGAATGTACTATAATAATTGTTACCCAACGAATTATTTACATATAACTTTATCTTGTTATTTTCTATAAAATCGACCCACACATTATTGGTCGTGTTCACACAATTAAGCGTCACGACACACTTTGTTCGGGAGAAAAATGAAACATATTTGCCTAAGAGTCTCGATTTAATATCAATATCCTTTCCCTAATGCCTTATCAAAACGAGCACAGGAAAAGCACAGGAGAAAAAGAAACAAAAGTTCGACGACGAGTCTGTAAAGCTATTCGGAATAATAATCATTGGAAAGCCTAATACAATAATACTATTCGATAATAATATTCGACCTACGCATTTTCCTTAATTTCTCCCGTTACTTTCCTCCTCGCCTCTTATCTACTACAACTAATACGATCTCAACTTCGTCGCCGTGTCGACTGCGATAATAACAATAATAACAATGAGCGACTACGTGGTTATCGCTTGTGTGCGAATTGCGAAATGCTTCGCTCACAATCATTGCGTCATAATAAAGTTAAGCGCATTCGAAAATCGCTTATGGGAATGCATCGGTAAAAAAAAAAATTAACGGATGTGTGAAGAGAACGTGGCAACGAAACGCTTTTTCTCTCCTCTCATCGACATACCGCAGCACCGGGAAGCGCTTCCACGTAGTATTACCGTTAGATTTAAAAGGAATTCCGAGAATGTGTGTCGCTCCCTGATTCGGCAGCGTTGTATAACGTAACGTCTGATGCCGTATCTCACCGACCATCACTCGGCCCTTTCCTACTTTATTTCTTTCTTTCTTCCTCCCTTACTTCCTCACTAGCGCGACAATTCTCTTCTATAATGCGCTACGCGACACGTCCGAGCGGCGCGTTGTATGAATTGCCAATAAACAAAACAAAAAAAAACGAATAACCATGATCGAATCATCATTGTATAATAAAGTTTTCGTGGATCGCGGGGGAGGAAGAGCGCCGCTAAAGGAACGATCTTTTGCACCGGCACTACCTCGTTTTAATCCCCAATCCAAAAAGCTGGCCATCTCCTCTCAATAATTCCTCAATAATGGCTTTTGCTTAATTGTTCGACGGACGTCGTGTTATGGAGTAGGATGATGAGGGTTGAAAGTCGAATTTAAGAGGAGAGATCTAAGAGCGGCTGGGGCGTAGAGAGAGAGAGAGAGAGAGAGAGAGAGAGAGAAATTCGCCGGTTTCTCGTTCGAAAGGAAGATGAATTTTGTGCTCGCGTAGTCGAGGAATAACGATTGTGCGTTTTGCGTTTCGTTAATTAGGCGAAGAGAGATTAGAGTTCCCCGTCGCGGTCAATAAATAATAGCCGTGAAATCGTACCGCGAGCGAGTCAGCGGTGTCGCGAGGGTGGTCCATCCTAATCAGATGCTCGCGGGTTGTCGATTCTGCGCAAAAGGTACTCCTCCACCCGGGCTCGTTGGTAAACGCAGGGGTGCCGATTTCCAGAGACGCGGCGATTATTGAATTGGGCGGCTCTCGACATCGATGCCCCTGTGTCTCCCTCCCACTCATCGCGTCTCGCCCCGCAGCCCACGCCGTTCGCTCGAATGCCCGTGGCTATGGAGGTGCGGGCATTCGCCAGTGCGCATAACCAGGACATGGAACGGCGTGACGGTGGCGGCTGCCCCGTGACGCTTAACTCGACTCTGTGACGTGGGCCAATGGACGAAAGCCAACTGTAGTGAGCTCTGCCAATCGGCCCTGGACTTTCCGTTACCACGTATTCTCGAGCGCCAATGGAGGAAAGCCACGACGAGATATTCCCGTTAATATCCCGGCACTGAGTTTCGTCGGCTATCAGTCAGACCAGAAGCACTTGGCCGTCGAGTTCTTTCTCGTTAGGTGCATAGATAGATAAAGAGAGAGAGAGAGAGAGCGCGCTAAGAAAAAGTGCTTTTATTTAACGAAGGGCCAGCATCGCGACGTTTCGGGCAGAGCCTATATAATCGTCAAAGTGGTGAGTGAGATATTTTGTGATTAATTATTGGGAGTTATATGTACGGGCGACGGGATTTTCACGAGTGATTTTCAAAGTAAACTTAAAACTAAAGATTTTCTCCCGGAATCCATCGATTCGAGGCCACTAGTGTTTGATAATTACGGGCGTACACGCGACGGTTCATCGTATACATCGCGCATTTTATTACTAAATTTATCCCGATAATTGCATTGTTGCCACGTGTTATCTGCTTGTCCTTGGTTTTTTTTTTTTTCCATTTTTTTTATTTTGTTATGAAAGAGATAGACGATAGTTAAGGTCTTTGAGGAAGTTGTATGACGTGTAGGTATGTATTGTGTATGTAGCAGCGTAGCAGCAACAGTAGCAACTTAACTGTACTTTTTTTTGTCGACGTAACGCATTTCGCGGTCGATGCTCCTTCATTTCAAATCCCGTTCATTTCAACGTTATTCGAATAATTCATTAATCTCTCCTTCGTACACACGATTCGTCGAACCTGTTAAAGTCATCACTCGTCGTCGCTTACGTGGTAATACATATCAGGGCTAATGGCCTTTTCACATGGCTCTTGTGCTATTGTACTTATGCCTTTACGGGATTTTAAGCGACGGCTACGCTTACTCCCCCAGATTATAAAACTCAATTGTTAAAAGTTGCTCGATCAACCGCGCATTGTTATCATTACTATTATTATTTTATTTTATTTATTTTATTTTTTTTTAATTTTATTTATTTATTTATTTATTATTTTTTTTTTTTTAATCCATCTATGTAAATATATTATTTCACAGCGTCATATTGTTGTTATTGTTGTTATTGTTTTTTTAATCTCTGGTATTATCTCCATATGTTCCTCAATTCCGTAAATAATTTTGTCGATAACTGCCTTTCCATTTCTTTACAGTTAAGGTTTAACAAAGCCAACATGAAGGGAGCCGCAGCTCTATTACTGATAGGGCTAGTTGCTTTTACCGTGGCTTACGAGGCCAAGACTAAGGATAAGGAAGACATTGGAACCGTTATTGGTATCGACTTGGGAACGACGTATTCATGGTAACTTTATTATTTCTACATCGCTTACTTAATAATGGAATATTTTCCAACGGGACTCTTAATACGTTGTAACGTATGCTTTTAGCGTCGGTGTATACAAGAATGGCCGCGTGGAAATTATCGCCAACGACCAGGGTAACCGTATCACTCCGTCGTACGTAGCCTTCACGTCCGATGGCGAACGCTTGATAGGCGACGCTGCCAAAAATCAATTGACCACCAATCCAGAGAACACCGTCTTTGACGCCAAACGTCTCATTGGTCGCGAATGGACGGACAAGACTGTGCAGCACGATGTGAAATTCTTCCCCTTCAAAGTCGTAGAGAAAAATAGTAAGCCACACATCAAGGTGGAGACTACCCAAGGAGAGAAGATCTTCGCCCCCGAAGAAATCTCAGCCATGGTTTTGGGCAAAATGAAGGAAACCGCAGAGGCTTACTTAGGCAAGAAAGTCACACACGCCGTCGTTACTGTGCCCGCTTACTTCAATGACGCACAAAGACAGGTGAGTAAGCGCCTTCCGCGCGCCAAACTGTCCCCAACTCCATTCCTTTGGCAATTGAGATTGACAAAATGACGCCAAACGACCATTACCTTACTCTTATTCCTTTATTAGGCGACCAAAGACGCTGGCACCATATCCGGCCTACAAGTCATGAGAATTATCAACGAACCCACTGCCGCTGCTATTGCTTACGGCTTGGATAAAAAAGATGGGGAGAAAAACATTTTGGTATTCGATTTGGGCGGCGGCACTTTCGACGTCAGTCTCCTCACCATCGATAATGGAGTGTTCGAAGTGGTAGCCACCAACGGTGACACTCACTTGGGTGGAGAGGACTTTGATCAACGTGTCATGGACCACTTCATCAAACTGTACAAGAAAAAGAAGGGCAAGGATATTCGTAAGGACAATAGGTCCGTTCAGAAATTGCGTCGTGAAGTCGAAAAGGCAAAGAGAGCGCTGAGTGCAAGCCATCAGGTAAATTAAGCTGAACATTCGTTATGTATACCTTTACATAGTTTATCGACTTTGTAAATTTGTTTTGTTTTGTTTTTTTTTTTGTTTTTTGCTTTCTCGAATTTGTAAAAAGTTTTCTACAAAACAAAACAAAACAAAAACAAAAACAAAAAAAACAGTCGATTTTATCATACTCTCCGTCTCCACTTACCGTCTTATCATTTGATTTACTTACTCATTCAAATCACTACGTCACTACCCTCGTTTCTTTATTACCAAAGTACATTAATAATCCAATAAAACAAAACATTTGATCATGATTTTTGCAGGTGAGGATCGAGATCGAATCGTTCTTCGAAAATGTCGACTTCTCCGAGACGTTGACTCGGGCGAAATTCGAAGAGCTGAACTTGGACCTCTTCCGTAGCACCATGAAGCCCGTGCAGAAGGTCCTCGAAGACGCCGACATGAGCAAGAAGGACGTCGACGAGATCGTTCTCGTCGGTGGCTCCACGAGAATTCCCAAGGTCCAGCATCTCGTAAAAGAATTCTTCAACGGCAAAGAGCCATCCCGGGGTATCAACCCCGACGAGGCTGTCGCTTATGGAGCGGCCGTCCAGGCCGGAGTCCTCTCTGGCGAACAGGACACCGACGCGATTGTCCTGCTCGACGTAAATCCACTGACCATGGGTATCGAGACCGTCGGCGGCGTCATGACCAAACTCATTCCAAGAAATACCGTAATCCCCACCAAGAAATCCCAGATCTTCTCCACGGCCTCCGACAATCAGCACACCGTGACCATCCAAGTTTACGAGGGCGAGCGTCCCATGACCAAAGACAACCATCTCCTCGGCAAGTTCGACCTAACGGGCATCCCACCAGCGCCCCGTGGCATCCCCCAAATCGAGGTGACGTTCGAGATCGACGCTAACGGTATCCTCCAAGTGTCGGCCGAGGACAAGGGCACCGGAAACCGCGAGAAGATCGTCATTACCAACGATCAGAACAGATTGACGCCAGACGACATTGACAGAATGATCAAGGACGCGGAGAAGTTCGCCGACGACGACAAGAAGCTCAAGGAGCGCGTCGAGGCCCGCAACGAGCTCGAGTCCTATGCCTACTCGCTCAAGAACCAGCTGCAAGACAAGGAGAAGCTTGGCTCGAAGATCAGCGAGGCGGAAAAGGCGAAAATGGAGGAGGCCATCGACGAGAAAATCAAGTGGCTCGAGGAGAATCCCGATACAAATCCCGAAGAGTACAAAACACAAAAGAAATTATTGTCCGACATTGTTCAGCCAATCATTGCCAAACTGTACCAAGCCGGTGGCGGTGTACCGCCCACAGGTGACGAATCCGGGGACGACTTCAAGGACGAATTATAATCTAAGGCCGACCTTTAAAGAGCTTTAAAGGAATTTACAAATTTAGACTGACGAAACATCCGTTGTCCTTTAGACAAATGCTTTAGAGACTAATGTTGCGCGCGCGCGTATATGTGTGTATGTGTGGTTTGCTCGGACTGGAGGGCGGGCGGACGAGGTTTCTCTCCCCAGACCCCCCGTGATCCAGATTCCGACGCGTTCTATAAATGTCAGGAGAGTGTGAAGCGATTAGGATCGGAGGGAGGAAGCACACGCACGAAATAGACCAACTCGTCGACGAGAAGAAAACCGTTGAACGGCTGTGATGATGGTCCTTTAAAGCTTAAATTTTCATTTATGAAATCTTATAAAATATTCCACCAAATGTATATAAATGAATCCTAGAAATTATATCAATAGAATTCATAACTTCATAGTAATTGTTCAAATTTTGAACATTCATTAATAAATGTTTTTTAAACAAATCTTTACACACGATGCATATTTATTTCTTTTGAAATCATAAGAATATTATTTTTTATTTTAATTATTGTGCTTGTAATGCTCCAATTATTTTTCTTTATTTATTTTTTATTAATGATAAATGACGTCTTAGGTTAATCTAACATATATATATATATATATATATATATATATATATATATATATATATTGAATTAATAATGTTAACGGCTTTATAATTCTACTATCGACCTCTTCTTCCATTAACTTATTGTGTACAGAATTTTAATGCGATAATATTAATTCAAATTTTTCAAATATTTTATGTAAATTAATTATGGACAAAAAAAAAAATAAACACAAAAGAAAATAAAAAAAAAAAAACCCTTAATTTTTCAATTTGTAATTCTGATTGAAAACACAGTAATTTCTACACAATAAATCGCTCCTCTTAGTCGTTATATTTGAAATGAGTTTTATTTATTAAACGCCTCATTATATAACAATAATTCGTTAAAATAATTATTTAACGATACAAAATTAAAAGCCACAATTTACAAATAGATAGCATTTCGTTTCAGCTGGTGTGAAATAATGCATTCGATTTCGCTTGATCGCTCATAAATCCGATCGACGCGTGCGAAGGGATTTTTAATTGTCAATCATATAGTTTGTTTGTCTCAATTAACATAAATATTGCCATTTCGAATTCCTTATAATACAAGTCCGTCGTACAGTTGTCCCTCTGCTTCGGGCGACTCTATTCGGTTCTTTAAATGATCTAACGTATTCGCAAAATGCTTTTGTATCTGTTCGGTTTCCTCGCTTATTTCTAAATTCGGCAGTTCGTCTTTAATTTTAGAAATAACCTGATTCAAAATCTGTACGGTTACTGCCGTATTACCCTTCTCATAAAAGTATATGTAATGATTTAAAAGTTCTATATACAATTGGACTTGCACCGAAATGTCCATACACTGATTTGCTATTCTTATTCCCTTCTTAAGACAATCCAACACTTTGTTTTTGTCTTGCATCTCCTTCCCCTCGGTACTCAAGGACTTTCCAGACCAGAAGATGTGCGAACACGTAGCTACACCGCGGCATTGATCCGGCTTCCTCAAAAGTTTACTCGCGTATAAGGCACATTGGTTTCTCACGGGCTCTGCGTTCTCTTCGCCAAAGCAATTTATTTGTTCAAAAGTTGCGATGATCAAGGTTATTGCGGCAAATTGTGCCTTCGAATCGCTAATTTCATCCTCGTAGATTGAAAATGCTTGACTTATAAATTCATAAGCGACGATTTCAAAATTATCAAATCTGATATCACCGATGGCCAAAGCACCTTGGAGAAACAGCCTAAGAGGTAATTCGGCGAGCTCAACTTTAATTAACGCCGTGATCGTGGAATGGCAAAATTGAAAGATCTTTTGACATTTCTTTTCCCACATGTCGTCCTGGGACTTTAAATTTTTGTACGTAAATGCCAATTGGTATGCTTGGAAAACAATGGGCGGAAGTGTATATCTCACTCTTTTACTACCACCGGTAACAAAATGCTTTCTAGCTGTGCTAAGAATCATGTACTGCTCATCCGAAACATCTGACTTGAAGTAGTGTATCAACCTGCCTAGGAGGCCCTGTTCCTCTGCAAATTCCTCCGGATCATCCTCGACAGTGTGGTCTGGCTGGTCCTGAATAAGCGGCGTAATCATCAATAAAATTGCATCCACTTGCTCAGGAGATGGTACAAGCGTTTCGTTGTCCAAGATATTTGTCACAATGTAGGTTGCCAATAATTTTCTACCCTCGTAATCGAAATAGCTTAATAGCGGTCTGTAATGCTTCAGTTTCAATACCGTCAAAATATTTTTGTAGTTATCGATTGGTATTTTCAAGAGCCTCGAGAGCTCTCTTGAAACGGCGCTGTTATATTCCAATGTCTCTGTATGAATCTTTTGGAATATTTGATGAGTATTTAAAAGGACTTTATCCACATAATCCACTCTATCCGGATAGCACTTATGAGCCAAGTTAATTAATGCTACCTGTAAAGATATTATGTCTTCTAATGGCATATCTTGCCTCGTTTGTACAATGGTTGACACTTGATCGCTAAAGACATCAAACAATTGAATATCTTGCGGAATTCCGGATAACTGATTGGGACTTCCTGGACCGCCCACGCCATCGGATCTCTGACTAAAAGCAGCCAAACGATCTATCAATGAAATTATTATATTCTTTATGTTTACGCCGCTTTGGAGCTCCGCGCAAGACTTAAGGAATGCATTTAACGTTTGTAAATGGAATTCGTCCGGGAAGACTTGAATTATGCATTCCATTAGGTATTCTTGAGCGATCGCGTCTCTACAGCTTACGACCTGTTCTAATATTCCTGGCAATACAAGCTTTGTATACTTATCCAATGTAACCGATTCTAATTGGCTAAGTCGAACTAAATTAGTTCCAACCAGTATTCTCAATTCTTCCCTCTCTCGTTCTCTTCTCTCCCTCTCACGACTATGACCTTGATGCTGCATCCGAACCCATAATTTATTCATTTCTGCAAAATTCATCAAGATAAAGTCAATACTATCTCGAACCGTTCCTTCGTCCGTGTTGCTGTCCTCCAAATTATCGGGTAGAATGTTTCTTGTGCACTGAAGCAAATAATTTCTCAGGAATAGGCCTCTTAGCGGATGCTGGACTCCACGGCACATTTCAACCATATCTCTTAAAAGATCTCTTTTCAAACATGGATTAGCTTTAATGTAAACTATACCAACTGTTATTAGTAAATACAATCTTGGGACAATATTTCCTGCATATTGTACTAATTCGTACAAGTCTGCTACCTTACGTCCTTTTTGAAATTCATCTAATAAATAAAGTTCCAAATGTCGAAGCTCGTCGGTGATGGCCATGTAAAGCTCATAATAACTCTTAGGACTCAATAAAGATGTTCGTAATTCACCTAACATTGTCGAAGCGTGTTTCAAAGCATCCATTAGCTTAGCTTTATCCAAGCAATGTTTCATCTGCAAAGCTTGCACTTTAACAACTCCTATTGCATCTTCTAATAGCTTTTCCTGCTCTTCAACTCCAGCCATGATTGATATTAAGAATTATATCCTTGCTTATTTCACGCAATAATATATTATTTGTTATGTATTAGTAGCTTTTAATTCTAATCATCTAGACGTAAGCATTATTTACTCGACTTGAATATTCTTCTCTTCGAACACATAACCTACTTGTGCAAATTGTTGAATATAACCTAGTTTGTTTTATTGGGAATTTATCGAACTTATCCCACTAGAGACACAAAATAAAAAACAAATTGTGTATTTAATGCAGCTTTGCTTGGCCCTTATTAAATAAATCATTGTAAATTAAAAAAGTTGATAAAAGGGGATAATCAATATGAAAGATTAAAATGAGATTCGAAGTATTTTAAAACTGACAATCATTTAATAAGAATAAAACATTCGCTTGAATTACCATTTTCGCATAAATTTTTTAACTTCAATTCCCATCGATTATCGTATTTTCAAATATATTTTTTTTCTTTCTTTTTTTTCTTTTAATATATCACAATATATTAGAATTTCAATTATTTAATTAATATTTTGATAAAAAATTCGATTGTAATATAAATCGAGCTAATGGTTGAATATGCATTAGTTAATTGAATAAAATGTTGTAAATGATCAATGTAAGAAAAGAAAGAAGAAAAAAAATGTTAAACCTTTTTGAAAATTGATTAATTAATTTAAATTGTTATACACACAAAATATATTGTAGCTTTAAAATTTCCATTACACTTTATTACTTATATTAAACAAGTTTACTTTATTCATTCGGTATTTTTATAAATGAAATAAATATATAATTGACAAAAGTTATAATTTTGAAAAATAAATTAATGTCAAAAGTGAAATACAGTAGTTTTAACATTGTTAAGAATAATTTTTAAAAACTATTAAAATTATGGCATTAATAAAATTAAAATAATAAATTACTCCGTAAATAAAATATATTTAACAAAAATATCGTTAAATTAACGATAATTCAAACATTTATAATTGATTAAATTGATATTTTAAGCTTTGCAAACAGTGCATAAACACTTTTGATTAAATCGATTGTGTACAATAAATTTGATTTTGACACTATATTTTATTGTAATTATACATTTGTTATTTATATCTTCATATTTCCACTTGTCATATTACTTTTATTAAAAAAGAAAAAAAAGAAAAAAAAAATATCTAAGGCACAATACAACTTTAAATATAACTAATATATAAAATATTTTGATACTATTATTATTAGTCAAAATATAACGATAATCTTTATTATAATAAGATTGAAAATTTTACAAGAAACTGATTAATAGTTTAGAAATGAATGAGACAAATTCATTAAACAGTTGCGTGTTATTTATCAACTGTTGTGGTAATTTAATAAGAGAAAAAGAGTCGACAACGGCATAATACATTAACGCGTAAAAATATATTTTTCAAAAATTCATTATTGTTGGACTCGAATTATATATGCGATCTGCGATCTCTTAGATATATCACAATCATGAAAAATATTATTGTTTTTAAAGAACTGAATTTTTAGTTAGTGTTTAGAAAGTGATAAATAAAAAGTATAAAAATAAAGACAATGAAGTAACGTTATAATGAAAATAGTCACGTGTTGGTTTTTGATGAATTTATTTGAAAATTGGGTTTTATTTGCATTGATAACAAAAAACAGCTAAGAATTTGTATATAATGCTTTGTTCTTTCCATTAAACTCTCGTCTTGTTTCCATTTATTACCGGAATATAACAATAATAAAGATAATTAATCGAAACATGACAGCATAGGTATAAGATCCGCACAGCTCGCAGAAACAATAAATTCCATTAGATAATAATAATAATATACATATTGTTGTAGGTGGTGCGAGGTTGATTAAATTCTTACAAATGTATAAATTCTGTTTTTCCTTCCATATACATACAAATGTTCTCATACATAATGATACAACAAATTTTAACATATTGCTTGTTTTGAAAAAAAAAAAAAAAAAAAAAAAAAAAGAGCAGTGATGCATATTTACTTTAACACGAGTTTATGCGCCTTACATTAAAAAAATAACAATAAAACTTTTTGATTTTTTTTTTTTTTTTTTTTTTTTTTTTTTTTTTTTACTTCTCACCTCATCAGCCAGCTCAATGTATTGTAAATAGTACACAGTAGATGAATCTGAATTCGCCGAAGTATAAAAATAACATTCTGGTCGGGTCAACAATTGTAGTTTTTTTTTCAATGTTTTTCCTTTTTCCGTTTTATCTCTTTTAAATGCGGGGTTTAAACGTATAGATTTACGGCATGTCACATTTTATATTTTTTAGTATAATACCTAGTTAGAAATAATCGGTGAGCTCCACAAGGCTTTATTTCATAATTATTTTTATACAGTCAATACTCATAAAGAGCGAGCAGTTTTTTTTTTTTTTTTTTTAATTATAAACTAATAAAAGTCACTTCTCTCGCAAGCGCTCACAGTAGTAAGGCCGAAACGTAGGCGTATTCGTTTTGATATTCTTAAATTATTTTTCTATTTTAAAGTCGATGACATTGTTAAAGAAAAAAATAAAAAAAAAAACAATTTGCAAATGCATATAATACATATCGTAAATTTCAAGAAGAAACAATTACTCGTTTGACGCTCGACTTTTACGTTACAGTTCTCGTTGTCTCTGCATTTACTTTCTTATATTGACGACGCAACAGTGAGGTAAGCGTATATTCTATGTATATATCTCGCGGAAACGAAATGCTTCACAAATATTTTTATAATTCTAGCCCTGTTTCATCTTTCATTGTGTTGTTGTTATATATATATATATATATATATATAAATGTATGCAAGTATGAATAATACAGTGACATAGTTTTATAGGCAAAAAGCGTATTTGAATTATCTTTACAGTATGTAGTAATATTAATTATTATTAATTTATTTATAATAATGGTGCTTCGCAATCATTTTCAACCGAATTCAGTGACGTTTGAAATGTCGTTTCCTACTTCAACCAATTCTTAAAATACGCAAATTGTCAAATACATATCGGCATTATTACATTTTTAAGCACGATCAATTTTTTATTTTCTGTCACTATTTAGATCAATGGTATCAATTATTGCTAGATTCTAATAAATGTATCACGCCTGTGTACATTTAACAAGCAATCTAAATATTTTAATCTTCATTTAAGATAATGAGTTATTTCATTTAACATCATTAATACATATTTTAATGAAAAATTCCATTCTGAAGTATATTAAAGTTGCGTAATGTATATTATATACAATATGCTTGTATATAATATTATAATATAAGTAAGACATAATATAGCTAGACATAAAGCAGACATAATTAACTGTTATTTTTATTATTTTTTTATGCCCAGTAAGAATGGACATTGAAATATTTTCTTTTAAACGGTTTCATCGTTATAAATTTTTTTTTTTTTTGGACTATGTTTAACGATAACAAATGGCATTGCACGATAATTATTTAATTTAAACGAGAAAAACATATTTTTAAAATCATTATTTCATTCCAAATGTGCATAGTGTAAAGGTACGTAAATAGTAAAATAATTACGTAATTTGAAATTAAAAGTAAAAATATATCATCGTTTGACAGCTACATTAAATAACTTTAATAAATATTTTATTTAAATTTGTCGTTCATTTTATAAAATGTATAAGTTGAATAAAAAATTTTTTTTTATCTAGATATTAACAAATTCGATGTATCGTGCGCGCGCGCGCGCGCGTCTGTGTCTATTTTTTAAAATCTACAGTCGTAAAGCAGTAAGCATCAAGGAAAAAGTAAATCACAATATTTTTTGAATGCTTTATAGTTATAAGTTATTGACGGATCACACTAAAATTTGTATAATATACTACTTTTTACACGTGATGAATAAGGTAAAATATGCCAAATGAAGTTATCGACAAGATATCCGATACTTTTAATCGTTTAGCAAAGAATGTTCCTTGTAAAATGACAAATTCTTATAGCTACGGCTATACGATGAGTTCCCACTGGGTATCCTTAATACATCGATTGAATTGTTAATGAAATAGCTTTACTATCGATATGAACAATAGCAGTTGCAATAAGTTCAACGATAAAAGTGGAAGATATTCGCGCCAATGAAAGAAGGGAAAGTAAATACGAGGACGAAGGTAATGTAAAAAGTAGCTTATGTAATAATATCAATAAGCAGCCTATTTGATATAGCCATTAAGTGATCGAGAATCCATCGAAATAAGAATAAAATACGAAATAAAATAATAATACTAGCCACATTCGTTCTATTCGCGTTATAAAATTTCATTGATTATTTTGACGCCGATAAAGATAAAGCTAATCAATCCTTAATGCACAATGGAGAAAATGCATGTGAAACTATGAAGAGAGCAGGAAAAAGCACTTATTTGTGAAAAAGTCAAGAGCTATCGGTAAAACTTTTTTCCCTCATAAAAAGTTTGCAATTAGTGTCGGTTTTCAATAACTATTGTATTATTGTCACGGTAATTTTACTTTCAACGATAATCTTCATTACTAATAAGTGCCCGGTTATTTTCACGTCGGCTCAAGCTCCGGTAACTTAACTCCGGTTATTTTATTGAATTTACATAACTATGGAATCTCTCATCGACAACTATCAATGTCCATTTTTTTTTTTTTATTTTTTTTTTTTTTTAATAACTAGTGTCTATATATCATTTAGCGTATGTGTGTATGCATAATAATTATTATATTAAGAACAATGAATGTAGCGTATGTACTTGCCACCATGCAGCCAGAGTTAATTGATTAATTATGTAAGCGATTCAACGTAACACAAATGTCTAATCTTATCTAATTAGTTATAATGCATAGTAATTATTATTTGTGGTTTTTGTTTTTTTTTTTGTCTTTTTTGTCTTTTTTCCCGACATTCATTCTCTTATAAAAGCTCTGCCTATTAATTATGATTAATATTAATGTTATTGTTATTATTGTTATTAATAATAATAATAATAATAATAATAATAATAATAATATGGTCAACGGGATGTCGCCTAGCAATCATGCCTGCACGTGTAAATAATCTCTCTAAGCGCATTGTTCCACATTCGGTATTTACGAAATTTGTTTAGGAAAAATTTTTCTAAAAAATACTATTTCCCTTAATACTCCAATAACAGAATATATGCGAAAGATCGATTAGTACAATCGATTAGCTTCACTCCCTATAAAACAGTCGAACGATAAAATTCTAAAACTTCTTAATGTAAAGTAATTGCCGGTCTTTTTATTTATAATATAATCGTTATTATTATTTTGTTGTTTTACGGATCTCATCTATTAGTCGAAATAGCGCGAAGAGAAACTCAGAGTGCTTACGAGCTACACTATAATTTTTATATCTTTATAATAATTATTTATGTCGTTAATATTAATTATTAATAAGAAAGCTAGACGCACAAGAAAGTGTTGGCTTATCGTGCCTCGAATTGACTGGTGCAATGTTGTTTTTTTTTTCTTTTCTTTTTCTTTTTCTTTTCTTTTTTGGTACTTGATTTACCATGAAGAGAATAAACTGCAAATTTACGAATTTACACGAATTACGCTTTAAACGGGATAATTCGTCCATAAGACAGACATTATTTGCAGGACACAGCCATATGAGAATTTTACATTTTGCAAGAGTTAGAAGCATCTCGAACCAGCGTTCTAAATTAAAAAAATTTTCATCGACACCCGTTTGAGGCTCTTGTGACATTTATAATAAGAATAAAATTGCTATATAAAAACATGATAAATGTATTATTTACACGATTACGTAATACTTAAATGCAGGAAAAATAACAAATTACGTTGCAAGTGAAAACTTTGTGCTTTCGAGAAAAGTAAGTAATACGCAATTCGATGTTAACGCTTTTGACAAATGTCACAAGTTGTATATCTGAAACGAGTGTGTATAATTAATTTTTTTTTTCCTTCAAATTTTAGAACTCTATATTCGAAATACACTAGTAACAATTCGAGGCTCGAACTTTATAAGTTATTTACTTGCATTGTAAGCATTATGCTCTAAATAATGATTCCTTAAAGTTATCTATAAGTCTTAAACTTTATATGTTTATAATCGAAATACGTCAACATCAATCAACAAATAAATCGAACTATATGCACGCCTCTGACTATATATACGTTTAGCTCAGCCATCCGTTTTTTTTTTATTCTATTTTTTCTTTCTTCCTTGAATAATATAAACATTGTATTCTTGTATCACAGTATTCTTGTATATCAGTAGAGTCATTAGTTTATTTCTCGTTTCCCTTCACTTTGGATATGGCAAATATGAAGATAATAGTAAATTATACTAATGTATGTCTATATTCTTTGGGACTAAATGACTATCACAGTGGACAAATTTTTTCTTTAACGTTCTATCCTCATAGTATTTTTCTTCTTCCATGTCGCAGGATAAAAATTTTTATTCCCATGTTTTTTTGTCGCATTCTTTATTTCTAATTCTTTTTTTTTTTCTTCTTCTTCATACTAGTAGAGGCGTGCTAGTTCGTATAATGCGTTTCTTAGTAAAGTTATCAATTTCTATACTTTTTTTTTCACTACTGCTTATGTCAGTGTTTTTAAGATAAGCTTTAGAATTATAAAAAGCACTTTATTTGCTTTCGTTTTATTATTTATTTTCTCTCGTTTTGTTTTCACAGCACTACAGAGAAATAAATAAGCTACAAAGGAATTAATTACGATTCGAGTTATGTCCTGATTTTTTTTTATAAATCATTTCTTCCTACTTTAGCCCGAAACGTACCATAGATTATTAACGATATGCTCTAACAATCTAATGTCAAATCTTAACACTAACGATCTGCCGTGTAAGTGGGTTCACTATTTTTCACTCTACAACACAAAGAAAAATAAAATAAAAATATTCACGTTCCTGCGAAATATAAGTCATTTAAAATTATTAATTAAAAAAAAAAAAAAAAAAAAAAAAAAAAAAAAAAAAAAATAAATAAAATATTTAAGGCGGTCTAATGTTCAAAACTTGTGAACTAATGAGTATACAAATTAAAAAAAAAAAAAAAATAACATCTAGACAAGATAATTCAATAATTAGAGAAAATTTCAAATTCAACCCCTACGCAGCTTAATTTAAATGTTATGTGCTAATGTTACGTGCAGTTAACAATATTGAGTAGGATTTTACAATAATAATAATGTTAGATGATTATATGACATCGATACATAACTTCATAAGGCTTGCAGTCATGTTATACGTTACTTATCCCATCAAACTTTTACAGAATTTGATAAATTATGTGTGATTGCTTAGTAATTTTTAACAAAATCTATCCACTGAGCACAATATGAATTTTGTTTTTTAAACTAAAATATAAAATTTGATATTTGTAAAAAAAATATAATTTCATATAAGAACTTCAGTTTACGCTTAATAAAAATTACTTTTTAATGTCATGATGAGAAATCATAAACTTCTTCAATTCGAATTGAAAAAGAAATTTATAAATTGATTTTGAAAACGAAGAATGTTTTAAATGTACCATCGAGCGAAAGCTTCTATGATGTAAGGTACCTTTTCATCAAATCCACATATGTAAACAATATTTTCACCAAAAAATTTCCGGCGAAATGTTGACGAATCACTCAAGGCACAATTGACAAATCTGATGAAGCTGAAAAAGCAAATTTATTTCAAATAAAATTGAATTTAATAATTTCGTAAAACGTAAATTATATACATTTTTCTAATTCAACTATTTACAAACTAGTTTTTATAATAATTTAACATACAAATTTACTAGTAAATTCAATAGAATTAGTATAATAACTAGTAAAATCAATTGAAAATAAATAACTAGTAAAATCAATTGAATCATCCTTAATTAAATTTTAATTTCTTTTAATTGTTAATAATATCAATTGTTATATAAATATCAGCTTAGAATGACAAATTTGAATTTGAATTGTTGTATTTTATAATTACAAAATCTCGATCAATTAAATGAAATCATTGATTACATTTTAAAATCAAATGTAGTTTAAATTGTAGAAAAGTATTATTTATAATATCAATCAAATTTTCGTGATTTCGATTAAATAAGATATAACATTACTTGGAAATTGGCAGTTTTAATTTTTTTTTGTACATATCGATATCGTCTTCCGAATATTCTGGTAGGTCATCAATTTTATCAATGAGATTGATGAAAACGTCATAATGATTGTGTTTTTTAAAAGCCTCCGTTATAAGTTTTGCCACGTCAATATTCTCCAAAGTTTTGGATTGTAATTTCTTCATGAATTGTAAAAATGTTAAATCGTCGTGGTCATCGGCATTAATAATAACACTCTCAACTACACTATTTTTAAAGGTCGCTATAGTGACATTTTTTTCCGTCCGAATGAGCGAATAAGCAATCAAGCAGCCAGCCTCAAATGCATTTACATTACCATTTCTCCAACACCCATTTTCAATCATTCTTCGACTCGTGTCGATAGCAATGAAATATCTATGATTAGTAGCTTGCAAATGCTGGAATATAATTTTTAATCAAATTTATTATGTAAATAAAAATGATATAAAATAAAAAGAATATAAATAAACTGACTGAAAATGAAAAATTCAACATGTCATATAGTGCATCTACAATTTCTTTATTGGCTTTAGGAGGCGATGGTAGTGGTTTTTTTGCCTGTTCTTTAATCTTTCGTTTTTCATATGACAATGATCTGTGAATTAACAAATACGAGTTCATACAAGTGATTCGTTTCATCATTTTATTAGAATATAAAAATTTTCTTACTTTCCAGCATTCAGGTAATTCTTTACTGTAATTAGAAATACAGCAGGATGAATTTTTTCTTTCGTGACATTCTGTGGATTTAGAGAATCTAAAACTTTTAATGTCATAGCTCCATTTGATTTCAAAAAGCCGAGATTATGAATTCGTTGAAGATTTTTTAAAATCATGCTTAAACTCATGGAAGATACTAATAAATTCCAAACCTATAAAACCAGTAATATAATAATAATAATAAATATTATAAGACCATTGGACATATTACTTCTTCAAATTTTAGCATGTGCTCAGGTACATGATCCAGTGTGAGATTAAGAGAATCGATTAATGCGGCCGACCTAATTCTATCTTTGCAATGTTTCAAATCCTCCACCGACTCGAAAAATTTCATTATTTCCTCAGCCGTTTCACTTTGTGTATTTGGATCGGGTAATGTTTCTTTTAATTTCTTAAAGCCAAATAACATATATTTGAATACTATTTCTCTATCTAAAAATATAGTTATTTATGGCCTATAGAAATGAACCAATAAAATTTTGTCCACCAAAAATATTATTTACCACTTCCAGTTGTACGAATATGCGCCAGTTTTATAATATCTTTATGCTTCCATCCATATCTACTTTTGAATTCCGTAGCAATCTTAGCAAGTTCCATCGGCGTTTTGGAATAATACCACTTTTTAACTGCATTTCTCCACCCATGACCATTCCCACCCTTTTTTGGACAATCTTTGTGCTTATTAATTAGAGAACAGAATTTATTAAATAAAATAAAGTGTTCTGGTGATTTGCAAACTTTGCATACAGCATCATATGCTTTTCTACGCAAATTTTCCTTTTCATGCTGTTGAGCGCACATTGCTAATACAAAAATCAATGTTTCAGGATTTTGTATAAGCTTCCTGTCGTGTTCCTAAATAAAATTTGATTTCCATAATTATTTGATAAGTTCACTATTTTTCAAGAGCAATGAAAATTATTTTTCCATAATACCTGAATAATCAATGAAACAATATCCTTGAATTCGTTATAATACGTAGCATATTCGTCGATAGAGAAAATGTTTTGTGTCAAGTTATAATTATAATCGAACCAATTTCCTGATTTGTATACGGGCTTTTCTGTGCCAATATATAGGAAACGGCACAATTGCCGACTCAGTAGAAATTCACGTATGTACGGCATATCTTCCTCCTCGTACATTTCTTAAGATTTAAATTCAAGATTGAATTACTACGAGCAAATGTGAAATTGAGTTTCTACTACATCAATTGACACACAAAAAACCCTCTAGCTCGTACTTTAAGCACTTATTTCTAAAAACAATAAGCAATATTATTAAAAATCTGCGTAATTTAATTAGGCTATTTTTGAATGCGAGGAAAAATATGCGGACGTGATTATTTCAATGATTACAATTCTGTATGGAATATCTATGGAATATGGCTACCTTTGGTAGATGGTAATGTAACAGTAAATTTTAATTACTTGTAAAAGTTAACAGTACAAATTCGTGATCAGTACAAGTTTCATGAAATTAATGATGGTAAAGTTAAAAATTCGCCTAGTAAAATAAATATTACACCTAACAATAAAGTAATATTAAATTTTTAATTATTTTTTCTTACTTTCTCGATAAAGCTTATCCAATATTTCAAATATTCCAGTTCAGCATGAATAGCGTTACCTTAGCAAAGAGTGGAGTAATCGGAGCAATCACACCCTGTTTATTATAGAAACGGAAGCAGCCTATCTAGCGGTAAAATTGAAATGTATTTTTGTTTATTATTTGCAATAATTTTCATGAATATAAATTCAATGATATACAGTGAAATATAATATTAATCGCACATATATAGTTTGCCGATATAAGTATATGGATTAGATTATGAAAAATCTTCGAATGTTAATAATCTTATTCTAATCATATTAAATTTTTAATTAGTAATTATAATATATAATTAATAAATAAGTATGAACCTTAAATATTCTTAACGGGTAATGAATACTTTGGTATAAAATAAGTTTTACGATAAACTGTATATTGTAATATATTTTAATATATTATTAGGAACATCTTTTACCCATACTGATATCGGCAATAATATTATGATTATTATGGTTGAAATTTATCGATGACAGGTTGTTTTTAATTTTTTATGTTGGAAGTTGTTAAAGCATTCTAGAAAGGGAATCTAGTAATCTCGTAATTACAAGGCTTTAATGTATGCCATATATCGTGTAACTCCCATATGTAAAATGACAAACCAATAACATTTTATTATTAACTAGAAAATAAATTATTTTAATTAATCATTAATGTCTTGTCTACAAATATTACTATTATATATATATATATATATATATATATATATATATATATAATTAAATATTTACAAGCGAAATCATAATTTATTACCTATAATATTTTAACGTATACTACTACACGTCCCGTATTAATACGTAAAGTAATAAATATTTTAAATGATTCATTAAATTTACCTTCGTTTGATTTCATTACTATTTGAGTTATGGGGTGGTCGGTATGTAATTGCAGTTTTGTTGTTTGTTTTATTTAGTAATTTAGTTCAAGAATTAAAAGCTATAAATGTTGCTTAGGGATTATTAACTTTTAATTATTTGAATCATTCGTATCAAAGTCAAATCAGTTGAAAAGCATAATAATTGTATATAAAACTTTTGAATCAAAATATATATGAATTATATTTTTCAAATTTTCATTAAGAAACTTCCATTAGATATTTTATTACATTTTACTATATTAAAATACGTATGAAATTGACATAATAAGCGTTATATAATTTATTATCAGCGCATTAAGGCATTTGTACTCTTATTGTATGCATTTCTAAGAGAATTTGGGTGAATTAGTCAATACTGTTTTTCTTTTTTTTTTTTTTTTTTTTTTTTTTGCATCCAACGATTGATCGATTTAAGTAAGTAATGATGAAATATTAATATGCACTTTAAAACGAAATTTTGATTTCCAATAGATCTTCGATGACTAAAGAGTCCAATTATAGTATGCATGAAAAGGAAAGAAGATAGCTACGAGTACGAGAGTTTAATTTCGTTTATAAAAAGTGTATCTTTCAATGCTTCGTTAATTACAAATACAAGAATTTAATAAACCGAAGTATAATTATTAACAATTATATTGAATGCCATATCATTAATATTTTTAACAAATTTAATCGGGCAAACTCACAAGCAGTTCAATTGCTTTCGATATAATTATAATTATACGTTATTACGAGAGTTACAAAACGTTAGAATACTCAAAAAAGGAGAAATATTCATCTTTTACCTGATTTTTTTTTTTGTTTTTGTTTGTTTTTGTTTTTGTTTTATATTTATTTATGCGCGCGCATAATGCATTCTGTCTCGAGATTAGAGCAGTGTTTATATATTTTTTCTAATAATATTATTGAAATTTAGAGATATATCAGATATTTTTTGACAAAGCAAATTAAGTTAAGAGACGAGCAATTTTGTTTATTCCCAATTGATTAAAATGAAGTATCGTAAATGATTTTATTAGATATATAGGCATCGTACATTTGCAACTTGAAGACTGGCAATTATATTTTATCTTTAAAAAACTGTGGAGAAGCAAATTAATCCGATGTGAGAATCTGATCGGGCGAATTAAGCTATATTTACGTATATTTTTATTATCAATAAATATGCAGTTTTGTGAATTGGATTTATAGGATAGGAGATGTTTACCATACAAATGCCACCGGCAAGATGACGAATACGTTAAGCTTGTAAATAAAGCGAGTATTTGCGAATAATAAAAAATTATAGAAAAGTAATTTTATTTGACTATGGCGAAGCATCATCCGGATTTGATTTTTTGTCGTAAACAGCCAGGAGTTGGTAAGTTTACAAGTAGTTTTAATATTGATAATTATTGACAACATAACCTATAATTATTCAAGTAAACGCGATTGTTAATATGAATAATTAATTTTTTACTAGCTATTGGCCGTTTATGTGAAAAATGCGATGGTAAATGCGTCATTTGTGATTCGTATGTGAGACCTTGCACTTTAGTGAGAATTTGTGACGAATGTAACTATGGTTCGTATCAAGGACGATGTGTGATCTGTGGAGGACCAGGTGTATCCGATGCTTATTATTGCAAGGAATGCACTATTCAAGAAAAAGATGTAAGATATATGTTCACTCTTTTTCAATAATATTTTCATAATCTATCTAACAATGTATTTTAAGATAAAACTTTTTTTCTGGCAAATAATTCAAGAATTTTTAATTTAGTTTTGAATTATTGTAACCAGCATAAAGTATTAATTTATATATTATAAATTGACTTTATTTTAGTTACTTTAAATAAAGATTGAAATTAGAAACAAAATTTCACATTACATGACAAAGATACAGACAGATAAGAAGCATTTGTATTTATAAAATAAAATACATCGATCTTTAATATAGAATTGTAAATTAATGTTAATGCATGAAAGATAATAAAACCAGAAATTTTTTACATTTAATATGTACTAAATGCTTAATAATCTTTAATTACATACGTTAGTGGTTTAGTTGATCATTAGTTGCTTTGTAAAATATTTGTAAATTTAAACGCTTTTCATTCTATATTAAGATAACGTATTAAATCTATTGTTTAGATTTTACACATAAAAGTATTTTTTACATTTGTATCGAATCTCGGATTAATATTTTTCTTACATTTCTATTGCGCATCACGATTGCAATGAATATTGTTTTGAACGACTGCTTCAAATTATCATAATTATCTATAATTATCTAATAATTTCACATTAGATATTTATTAAAAATAACATCATCTGTTTGTATTATTTTTTTTTTTTTTAGCGAGATGGATGCCCAAAAATTGTTAATCTTGGAAGTTCGAAAACTGATCTCTTCTATGAAAGGAAAAAATATGGTTTTAAAAGGCGATAAGAGATTTACAATGTATTTAAATCTAGCGTGTAAGAATGTACTTTGTAAGATAATTTCCATTGTCAATAGAAATTCAAAGGATATTTAATTTACGTAAAGCGTATCTTTTTACGATTATTTTAAAATAATTTCATAAATATAATTGATTACTGTGCATTTTTACTGGAATAAGTTCTATATTATATTTAATTTACTGCAATTAAAGTAATTATGATTTTTTTTTCATCTTTTTCTAAGGTATAATAAAAATACAACATATTTACTTTGTTAAATTGTGTATTTTATTGATGAGTTATTTTCTTTATCACATTACACTGTCATAGTGAATAGACTTGTACTACAGTTCCAAGTGAAGATATATTTCTTTCACGTATAATTTTCGCTACAGATTGAACAATTTGAATAGCAGAACAGTCAAATTTATTAATAGTCATCTTTTAAAAATAGACATAGTCACGAGGTTGATATTTGATTGGACTGAATTGCAATGATTGCATACTTAAATAGATAGATAATATGCAACTTTATTGTTACGACTACCAAATTCAACTGTTTGCCATTAATTTATATTTTATATTCTAAGTTTGCAAACAACGTCGTTTCTTTTCTAAGGCTATTTTTTTAATGATAAAAGTTCCTTAAACTTGTCTACATCACACTTTGAACAATTCGTTTCAAAAAGGAGACACTGCTCATTAAAGTATAATTGATCATCGCCATTTATCCTCCGTACTATAATACACATCACATCATTTATTGAATCCTTCTGATGTTTCGTCATTTTTGTACAACTTTCCTTAAGAAAATATATCTTGGTTCAAATTCAAAATGAGTCGTCATACGAGTGGGCATAATTTTAATGAAAAATACCGTTGCTTAATAAATGCTTTTTCGTAACAGTGAATAAATGTTGTACAAATTTTTTTTCATTTAATTTACTCGTATTATGTATTTAACATTAAAAAATAATCTGTCGCATTCTAAAATGCGTATGTGAATTTGGGGGTAGTTTCGTCGACGTCGTGCATCAAAGCGATATAGATTATTGATCTTATTGGAATATAGAATCGCGCGGTTGAAGTTGTTTTTTTTTTGTTTTTTTTTTTTTTTACTCGTTATACCCAACTACGTTTAAATGTGATTAATCAAGCACTACTCAAGTCACCTTAGGTATTCGTGATTTTTTTTTGGTACGCGAGACAACATGAAATAAAAGTGTTAAAGAATGCGTTCGTTTAAAATTATGAGTAAAAGGCGGAGATCGGACGGATCATCGGATAGTGGAGTCATCCGGTGTGAATTAAAAGTGGCCTAATTAATAATGAGCGCTGAAAGCTTTGTAAATTAATGCGTCCCCCTCGACAATAGGTATTAATGCGCATTTCGCACACTTGGCCAACAAGGAATTGTTGCCGCGTTTACGCATTAAATCGCTAATAATTAAAGGTGCCCAAGTGTATCGATTACAATTATAACATTAAGGGAGTCTAACTGCCCGTATCTATCTTAAATGAATAGCGTGAAAATTAAAATTGATAATGGTCCGCGCAATGCGAGAGGGACGATTTCGAGTTAATGATAGAATAACCGCACGAGCACCACCTTTATCGAGTTGAGCGATGATACGAGGTGATTGATACGTGAATACGATCGTAAAACCGTGCTTCGGTGGATGGTTGATGAAAATGATCAACTGTGCCGGGATATCCAATTCAACGAGATTCCATTGCGATTACAACTGGAGCAGTCAAGGCTAATTGTGAGATTATTATGGGCGAGCCATTATGATACGATGAATCGAATTCGCGAGCACGTACCGCTTTTGTTTGTAAGCTTGATTTATCCATCGTTGTATTTCATGCTACTCAACTGGCAATTGGATTAGGACAAACTAAAACTAAAGTTTGTCAATTGCATAGCGAGATAACACCTGTTCCAGCTCGTTCTCATACTGGCATGTCGAATGCCATGTTGATCAATTCAATTGACACAGTAAACGTCAATTGTCCAATGAATAATCATCGATAAACGTTAGACATTCGTAATGTAGTAAAATTGTAAGTGATAAAAAATATTTAGTTTGGCATCGGTATGAATAATATTACTACTATTTAGATCGTCGCATTTAATTATAAAGTGATTAGAACGATTTATGAATCAGCTAGCGGATCGATCAAGTGTCATAAAGTAAAAACCGTTTTATGCTGTATTCTACCATTATGATACTGCTTTCTCTCTCTCTCTCTCTCTCTCTCTCTCTCTCTCTCATTCTTTTACAGTCGAAAATTCGATTTATATTGAAAAATAATAAATTAAATGTACAAATTGAAATCTTTATAATCGCGAATTCAGTTTCCTCATCAAATTTTTTACCATTAAAATGAATAAATTTATCTACAAAGCCTTGAAAAACATAATAGAATGTAATATAGAGAATATAATAGAGAGAAAATTTGTTTTATAATGAAAAGTATGAATGAATTAGTGAATCGTTAAAAAATGATCATATATTTTCTTTAACAAAATAAGTTGTAAGCATATTAATGTTTTAGAAAATAATCACTAATGAAAAGCCATTGGTGATTCATTTGAAATAATTTTAAATTGCGTATCGTAGCCAAGTTAGCAAAATACCGGTTAACTTGCAAATAAAAAGAATTTCATACATTTAAACGTATTTTAAGCCATAAATATAATTAAGCAAATTCAGTTCAGTTAAATCCCATTTGATTTTTTCAATATCGAATAAGAATTTCTAGCGATTTTTTTTGAAAACTCTATGGTGCGAGCAAAATTTACCTTTTTGGATTTCGAATTGTACATAAGACGATTGTACATATATAAATATAAAGTCCTACGTCTTTGATAGCACATTTAATGATACATCATAATATTTGGCCTAATGCTGATCACGAAGAAGTGATTTCTTTACATCAATGACTTATGGAATCAAAGCCTGATAGGGCTAACCTTCGGGCTAAACTGTCCAGACTGCCCAGATCAATGGTTCAATCGAAGCTTTATTCCACGAATTAACTGAAATTCAATCTCTTGTTTACAAACTGATTTTTATAAAGTAATAAGTTTTTTTTTTTTTTTACAAGTGACCTTATTTGTTCTTATTTATATGATTACAGATTACGGTAACATTTAATTTGCTGATCAGTATTTTATTTATTGTTTTTATCTTCCGGTCTTTGGTACAATGGTACAAGGACGAAGGTCGAAGACACAGTTTGTTTTGCGTTATCCGCTTTTCTCCATTGACGTTTATATCAAACTAACGCTGACTCACAGTTATTGCAGATTATACGATTGCAAACTCAACGACGCAACGACACTGACAACAATCTCGCGACCAATATTCAATTGTTATCGAAGATAAATACAGCGAATATTCTGAAGATAAGTAAGGACCTCATACCGTTCATATTGTTGATTAATGTGTGTATGATAGAAAAACTGCGCCTAATTGACCATTTATCAATATTAATTACTTCCTGATGACCATAATGTAATGAGAGAAGTTTCATCTGTACCATCGAGAGAGTAGTCTAGACGGTTGCAATAATTTTTAAATTTTCCCTTTTGACGGTTGTTTTTTTTTTTTTTTTTTTTTTTTTTTTTTTTTTTTTTTTTAATATTTTAGGAATTTAATATTCAAATTTGATTACACAAGTATTTACGATCAACATTAAATCATGTAACAAGGCAGTAGTTAAATGTATTCGGTTTTAAATTATGCTAATATGAATTAATTCGGACAGTCAAACAGTTCAACACGAATGATCTATTATAGTACTTATACTCCAAATTGGCTTCGAGTGAACATAAAGATTAACAATAATAATAATAATTATTATTATATTGTCTCTTAAGGTAACCGAAATTTGGACAGTCTTTGCATTATGCTTACATATTAATATACGTACATTCAAGGTTGTATTTAAATTAATCTCCAATATGAGTTTTGGTAGATATTTGTCTAGTAGCGATATTTTGTCGAGTAATTGCAATCACACTTGCATATGCATACGATCGATTGTCTATTTAAAACTTAATCCCAATAAAAATAATACCGAGAGTTTGCCAATCAATTAATGAAGAAACGTATTTGACATCCCTGAAGTTTTATCTTAATTTTATAACAATACATTCATAGCACTGTCGAAGAAAAGAAGAACAGTCAATGTTATTATTGTATTGGAAACGTCAATCGTCATCTCTCCATTCGCCTATGCATATACACATGTATGCATACGCGCATTGGTGTTATGTTAGACAAGGTGACGCTATTTTTTCACTTCCAGATCTAAATATCGAGCAATATCATACTATGCAGGTACCTAATTCGAGTTATCCGAAGGACGGACTAATCAAACTAGCTAAATTTTTAGTTTTTCGAGGACAATTAAACTAACTTTTTTTTTATACGATATGTTTCTCTAGGGGGGACGTGAAGTTATTTTGAAAAACGCCCCAATCATTTTCATGATTGTTCTTCAAATTGCTACTATCCGAAGAAATTCCGCGATAAGTATTTCTCAGGCACACGCGCACGCACACGTACACACGCGCCCGCGCGCGCACACACATTCGTCGATAAAATTATTAAATTATCAACTAGTGATATTAAATGCGAATTTAAATCGCCTTATCGATCAAAGAGTCATAACCATTCTGACACCCACCATCGCATTAAGATCTTTGCGTGGATAAAGAGCAGCGCCTAACTTGAATAATTAGGACTTATTTCGATATAAGCAACTAAGATATCGAATAATGCCAAACGCTTAAGCAAAAATTTAGGAATCATGATGCATTAATAATGTTCCCCGAATTATGACACAATGTTAGTTAATAAATCATCGTGCACAAGAGTCGCGAGTTTAATGGGCCAATTCGGATCTTTTCCGGAAGGATCTTTTCGTATTTGATGCATTGAAACCAATTTATAGAGAACCAAATCAAATAAGCTTCTATGAGGAGGCTAATTGGAAGGCATTCAACATGGTCGGTCATATAAAAAGTGATTGGCGTTGACTCGGATTGGACGCATAATGTAACAGTGACATAATGGCAAGACTTGATATGTAACCATTCGGACCAAGATGTATGCAATATCTATATTCCAGGATTCACTCAAACGATGGGTGCACTGGAATTAATGAAAATTGAATAATTACGTATTTTGCGACTATTATTTATTGTGATGCTCAAAAACCTTATTAGGATCAAAGCTTAAATCAACATGTGATGCTCGTTTAATACTATGCTTTCCTATGTATTAAGGATATTATTATCTTTATACAGAGAAAAGACAACATTCTATCGATTTATATATATATATATATATATATATAATAATAATAATAACCATGCGTTTTTGTTTTTTTTTTATTTGTTTTGTTTTTGTTTTGTTTTTTTCGATAATTTATGATGAAGATTTTGTACAATCCAACCAATGATAACTCCTATATAACAAGTAGATCCGTTAAATCTCCAACAAATATTATTCTATATAGGAATGTTATGTATATAGTTTAATATAAACAAACTTTCAGGGTGGAAAATGAATTTCCACATTTTGAATATTAAGTATCATTAAACTTGATTGAATTTTGTTCCATTTCCTTATATAACATACACTCAAGTATTTAACATTTTACTTACTACTAGTTAATAATTTATTATTTCTAAAATATAGAAATGTGTATTGGCAATAAATAACGATTATAAACTTAATTCATGAGTAAACGGTATAAACTACGTAAAAGAGATAAATTTCATATGAGCTCTAAGTTCAAACAACGATTAACTTATTGACTATAAAATCATTTCAATTTTTCCGCATAATACTAATAGAATTTAGTATTTCCATATTCTACTTCTTATCTACAATTTTAGAAGACGAGAGAGTTTTACAATAAAATAAGGACTAAATAACCGACATGTTATATTACTTATTAATACAAAATAATATTATTCGTATTTAAAGTATATAAGAATAATATATTGACTACGTTTTCAATAGATGTAAATATTAGATTTCATTGGGAATTATTATTTAAATCGATCGATTATTTTTCTTATCCTTTTAAAATACTTAAATTATATTGCAATTATAAAGCGAAGAAAAATTCTAAGCAATGTACTGGCTATTGATAAAAAGAATTTGAATAATCATTTAAAAAAATATACATTTAGATTAAAAAGCCCTTTCGATATAAATTTATAAATAACGAATGCTTTTTATAATTAGTGTAATCGATGGTCAACATATTATTATAGATCTTATTCAGATCATTGAATCTCATTTATGATTGGTATAAATTATCTTTATATAAATAATTTAAGATAAACGTACTTTTTATACGTTCATAATATAAAATAATTTTTTAAAGACATTTTAAAATATTTTCTTTCTGTAAAAGTAAACTTTAAAATGGCTCTACTTTTCTTGTGATGATATTCTAGTAAATATGGAAAACCATTTTAACCATGGTTTATGAAATTCGCGCAAGATTATTTTACGTACCAAAATAATTTTTAAGGCAACGACGATATTACATTCTAACAGATTCCGTCAACGATTGTATTCCTATAACAGCAAATTGATTATTTTTACAGGGCTTTGTATAACTTTGTTTGTTAAACTATAGCTTAGACGTCCAAAATCGTAGCGAGCATACTTGGTATAAATTTGGCTTACTATGACGATTAATACGTGTCCAAGGACACTGCTTAATTATCATTAGATTAAATTTTATTGCTCGTTTGGTTCCATTTTGCTCGTACACGCACTTACTTCTCATCTGGACAAAGAGGAACTTGCGACCGATCGTCCACTTATTGCCGATTGCAGACTCATCATGGAGCCCCTGCAACAACAAAATGTCATTACTAAAGTTTTAATAAATAATTTCAAATAGTGTATTATTTATATATTAAATATTATATAAAATATTATTCATATAATAATTTGAAAAATTATTTATATTATTAGGTATTAATATTGTTTTCTTTTTCTTCTTTTCATTTCAAAAATATACGTCGTAAATTACATTAATTCCGAGGGAATAACTACCTTTTGAGAAATATTTATATAAATAAATTTAAAAAGAATTTTAAATAAACAAACAACATTATTTCAATTACTAAGCTCATTTTTGGCATGAAAATATTTTCAAATTTAAAAAAATTTCTTTTTCAATAATATTCAAGAAAATTTAATTACTTGTAATGCGCTGATGGTAAAGTTTCGTAGAAATACATTAACTGCGCTTTATGGGAGCTTATCGATGGAAGAAATTCTCCTTGCTCTTCTGGATTTTGCCATTGCAATATATAAATTCCTGCTTCTTGCATAATGTGAGTACCCTGAAAATAACAAATTTTTTATAGATTTTACAAATAAAAATTATATACAATAGTCATTTTAATTTCACTTATAATTACCTGAATACTTTCTCCATCATGGCATACGATACTTTGCTCAACTTTTATACAATTAACTCCTTCTTTCCATTCTTTATGCCCTGTTACATCTTGATCAATAACTGTCGTAACCTCAGGGACAGCTTAGAAATTACACAAATTATTTGAAATTTTTGCAGTAAATATGAGTGCGTACAAAACGTTATTAATAAAATTCAATTATTGAGGATTAAAAATTTTCATTTATAATTGAAACAATTTTTTTTTCCAGCATTACATAATACCGATAAAATCATGGCACATTTACATAAAATATGAAACATCGATAATAAATAATAAATGCCTGCGATTGGCTTAGAAAATATATAAGTAATTATTATAGTTACCTAAACCAGTAGCATCGTTTATTTTAGATTTATATAATACAGTAAATAAAACTTTGTAACGCATCACGTCAAAATCCCAAGTGAGAACAGCGCATGGATCGTTGCAATGTATAGCAACATTGTGTACTTGACCACGACTGAGACTAATAGAATGATATAAGCTATGCTCGTGTTCAGTAGACGTTCCTTCTAGATCAGCTTTGTAAAGATTCTTTGGCACAACTCCTCCTTCCATAACATACGTCTAAAAGATTTAAACAAATATAGGTATCTTACGAAAGTTAATGGATAAATGCATTTTTAATTTCATTGCTAATGAATGTGAATAACAGACAGGGTCAATTTTTGTTAACAAATTCTATTATTTTATAAATAAGATTTATACAATAGTTTAAATGCCAATTATTAATATCAATTAACATTTTATTAATACAAATACATAATTTACACATTGTTGAAAAGGAATTTCAAAATAAATGTATTAACATTATTGAAAAGTTATTGTAATAAAATATCATAAATATTGACATAGTAATAATATTAAAATATGTACTCGATTTGAATTTTTCATTATTTATTATAAGATAGAGTGGAATAAGTAATTTCATAACAAGTGTGAATTTTCAATTTCACAAAAGAAAATTTATAATTATTCTTAAATTTTTAATCGCATTCGTACATTTCACTTTTAATTAAAATTCAAAATTAACAATTCAATGTCATAACGTAAAATTATATTCGTTGATAAGAATAATAGAACTTATGTATTACAATGATGCGAATCGACACATCTGACTTCATGAATGCAGGATAAGCGTAAAACGTTACATTGGCACATTTAACTCAGACGTCTAATGTATTACACAGAAACATTTAAACATCTGGTTTAACTAATAAGTTACAATAAAAATTTAATTTAACAAGTGCTTTAAAACATAGTGCAAATCGTTACATTTATTTAAAAGACATCACTCATAACGATTGTGTGTTCCTTAAAAAAGTGAATTTCAAAAAATTCGGAATCTTTAAGTTATTAATCTTACGTCATTGGATGATTCAAAAATGTAAAAGCGTCGAGGAATTACACAATACTCTTCGCACAAAATTTCCTGTTTATTAAAAAAGTAAAATACAAACTAAAGAATCAACTTATAGTAAATTTGTATTATATAAGCGCATATATATATATATATATATATATATATATACATATATATACATACGTATATATATTTATATGTGTGCACGTATGTAATATACCATTATATTTTCTTTAATATAATTACAAAGGTATCGTAACTTTTCATGGAATAACGAGTTAAATAAATTAAACATTACTGATAAATTAATAAAAATCTTCATACCTCTGACGAACCACCAAGAAAATCTGGTATATATTCAGGATCAATGTAATCAGTAAGGCCACCAGCTCCTTGCTCTTGATAATCAGTACCACAATAAAATATAAACTTGTTCCTTGTATTTTCATCTGTAAAATAACAATGGTAATTTTAATGAATTTTTTAATTATACATTATTTATTTGTATTTTTATTATAATGCGGTAGAGGGAGGATTGAAAATGATTATTTACGTATAAATGTACTAATGAGAGTCCATAAAATTGGAAAACATCTTGGAGCTCGCATTATCAATACTCGACCCATTGTTTCTGGATAATTAGACTCGACAATTTCAATAATGCGAAGCAGAGCCTTCAACACAATCATTATATTTATAAATAAATATTATACAAATATTAGAAATAGAAAACAAAACTTTATCATCTTACTTTTATACCCGGTCTCCACAAATGACGCATATTCAATCCTTCCAAGTCAATTAATAATGTCCATTGAGAAACCGGATGACCACAGACGTTTGTGGCTTCGTCCATCAAGGAAAGACCTTCTTCGCAGATATGCAAAGCCTATTATATCCACACAAGAATGTCAAGTATTAATAGCAATATATATTAAAATTATCTTGTAAAGTGTCAAGCAATTATGAATACATACTAATAGTAACAATTCATCTTCACCAATTGACTTTAGTAACCCTTTAACATCCATTTGCCCCAACCTTAAAATATACAGTGGTCGACCTTCTAAAAATTTACAAATATTTATAATAAGAGTAATATTGTTTGTCAAACCATTTATTAAAATTCTATGTGATTATTAACCTTTGTCAATATGATGCCAACCCCCAGGAAAATAATCCTTCACAACCTGAGGAGCTTCATATTCTTCAAGAAGCTTATCAATTTGATGCTTTTTCCTCCAATGAAGCGATTGCGTTAACATGTCTCTGGCTTTTTCTACAGAGAATTCTCTAGCTCGTAGAAAACGCAATAGAGTGGCATCACCAGGTACGGAGCTGCCTCTCAACTCTTCGATGCTATGTCTCAATTGTACTAATTTGCTTTCCTGCATCATGTCAAGTTTTCCAAGATACCTCTCGATGTAATCGGAAGATAATTGCATTTCTGAAATAATCATTTCCACGGAATCTTAACAAAGCATTTGTATATTCCTCACATTAAATCATTGCACGCTATTCGAACAATAGTATCACAATATTCAAATTAATTAAGATAACAATTTTAGTTATACAATTTGATATAAGATTACATTTTATCTGACTGTTGAAATAAAGTAAAATAAAGTACTTTAAACTAATGAACTATTATGATTTTATCATTGGAATAACTTGGAATAGAAGTTTGTCATTTATTTCTATATAAAATTATTACTTAAAACTGAAACAAAAGTGTTTATATTTGTACCTCGACTGCCAGGAAGTTTGCCTTCAACAGAACCGTGATCATTGACTTTAGTCACTTCTTTTTTCTCTTCTTTGGGAGAAATCCTGTAATAATTTACAAAGTACTAAGTAATAAATTTAAAAGAAAACGATAAATTCTTTATTATTAATACTGACTTTTCTTCTACAACATTAATTTCTTTCAATGGATCCTGCCATGGCTCAACATATGTTATACCCTCTTCTTTTAATTCATTCACAAAATATTCAATGATTTCCTTTCCCTAAAATTTGCATTTAATTAAACAGATCTTTCAATTTAATCTTATATTGTATTTTAAGAATTAATTTACCTTGGCAATGTTCTGTGCGTATTGTTTCATCGCTAACTTTTCCATTGAATTTTCAAATCCAAAAAAGTTTTTAATATCTAAACTAGCTGTCTGTTCAAAGCAGGTCCATTCTGGATTTTCTGGATGGATCTGTAATTGCCATTTAATTTATATTATCTATTGCAACATTATTCAATTATAAATTCATTTTTGAAATTTAAATTTACTTACAAAGTATCTACACTTTTCTATAACCGTTACCCTAGTGGAGAAACTCTCGTTATATGCTTCAATTTCTAATACACTATTACGTCTATCAAGAACATTCCTTTGTATGAAATATACAAAGTCTACACCTATTATCTATTATAAATAATAACAATATTATTAAATTAAAACAAAGAAATATTATATTATACGATGAATATTGGATATTTGAATATTGTCTTGGTATATCTTTCTATACAAAGAATTGCCATATACAAAACTCAAATTTCTGACATAAATTTATACATTTATTTAACGCATACCTTTTTTAAAATATATGGTGCATCAACGTTTAATTTACATCTTCTTTCCGTTGTTCTGATTGCTCCACCTTCGCTTTCATTATCCATAGTTACCTCGCATCCTACAAAAACTGGTATTTGTGGACACGTGGGGAATCGCCGCTCATAAGCCTTAACAATAAATGGACAAAGAATAAATATAATAAGTACGATTAAAATATTCGATAAAATCATATTCATTAATTCTTAAAATTATATTTATTGTAAATAAATAAATACAATTACTTATCATAAGTTTCATTATAACTAAATAATTGAAACAACAACAACAACAACAACAACAACAACAACAACAACAACAACAATAATAATAATATATCAAATATTTAATAAATATAAAGCTAATAAAGAATAATGTATTGATATATTTTTATTATTAAATTATTAGGCGATTAAAATGCTATGGATATTAACAAATTTTTCAATTTTCTCACTTAAATATACACCTTAATATTTACTATAGTGCGCTTATATAAACAATAATATTATATAGATGAGCGATATGTGCATTAATGATGTAATTGTTGTTTCTTTTTGGGCAGATATAATGAGAATATTAGAAAAGCAAAGATATTTAACGAGGTTTTGCAATTACGCTTGAATTATTGAATTATTATCGTTTTTCTGTTAAAGGTTATATAGTATGCTTCAAGGTCATTATGTATGGACTAGTTTACATTGTCAAGTCAACTGCATGACTATAGTAATCCTTACCCAGGTACTTCACACCAATTCAATGTCAAACTCATTATTTTGACTTATCAATAATGTAAAGAAAAGACGATAACGACTCTATCGATTAGCATTTTACATACAAAAGACACGATTTTATCAATTGATATAGTTTTTAATACCTGAACAATACATAAGTTGAGCAAATATATATGAATTTATAATGAACAATATCCAGAGTAAAAGTAATAAATAGGGTAATTAGTTGGAGCATTCATGGATGGATTCATGCGATATTATATATTACGAACGTCAAGATATTGATTACATTAAAGTGAATTGATAATTAATAATTTCTTATTTAATTAGATTATGTTGACAAATTTTTTAAGTAATAATTATCATTGATTATGTTGACGATGTTGTATTTCGAACGAATGCATTATTATCTGCAGTAATTTATAATTCAGATAATGAAAATTCTTAATGATAATAAAATTATTATTTAATAAATTTGGAATAATTAAGTTTTTTGTAACAAAGACTCTTATCTTACATAAGAGTCAAATAATGGCACTTTGAAATTAGTGGGAAAATACCGATTCAGCATTAATTCCTTCATAATATAGGGTAAGTAATACTTATAGATGAGCCAAGTATCAAGGAAACAAATAATGAAAACTCCTAATGATAATTTAATTACCTATAAGATTGTAATAGACGTTTTCGATATAGATTGTTGGTTTTTTTTTTTTTTTTTTGGCTTTTTTTTTTAATTTTTTATTTTTTATTTTATATGCTTTTCTAGTGAAAAATGAAAAGATACAACGAACGATTTCAATATAATTATTGTAATTAAATAGGTGCATTATGAAAGCTCTGGATTACAAATAAAATAGATTTAAGTGTAATTTTCCATTCTATGAATTCCTATGCAATCATCGCTAATGAATTTTTTTTAACGAATATCAATGGACTGTAAATGCATATGTGTAAAATGGTTTAAAAGTATTGCTCTGTTAAATCGTAATTAAAAACTTTTACTTTACTTTATTGTTTCGGCATAAATTCCCATTGCCTCTAAAGAGCAAACCAAATTAAGGATTATTTTGTGCGCGCGCGTAGGCGCGTGTGTCCCTGTGTGTGCGCGCGCGCGCGCACATTTGTGACAAAGAGAGAGTGAGAGAGTGAGCGAGTGAGTGAGTGAGTGAGTGAGTGAGAGAGAGAGAGAGAGAGAGAGAGAGAGAGTGAGAGTAAAAGATGTTATTTTTTTTTGTGAAATAAAATAGACAAATAAACGTAATAATTCTGTCTGATAATGATCGAGATGATATTAAAAAAAAGAAAAAAAAAACAAAAACAAAAAAAATTGTTGAGAACCTACGATAAAGAACGAATTAGTTGTCATGAGTCAGAATGAATAAGACGTTTTCCATGCCATTTAATTAGACTTTTCTGTGAGTTTGTGAGAAGATTTCGATGCTCGTAGATGTGCCTACATAACAAGAGAAAGGAAGGTCGAGAAAAAATTTTTTTAAGTCCCAAACACGCGCGACGCACAAATGTAAACACGAGGAAAGGAGACGGGGAATAATATGGGATTAGTTGGCATTTAATTAGGCATACGAGCGAGAGGGCAACGTCAGTCTAAAGTAACTTGCGTGCTTCGAAGCTCCTGCGATGATGAATCAAAGTAGACATAAACAATAACGCACCAGCATTACGAGGGCGAAAGGGTACTTGTATACCCGAACGGGCGATTGGTATTGTTGAACCATATTGCCGTAGCTCCAGGTAACAATGCAGCCGACCGAACCGAGGCAGCCAAATAGACGAGGCCTCTGGCAACTTCACTCTCTTCTTGGCCACGGTCAGCTAGTACTCGGACCCGATCGAGCGCGCCCTGGATGAGCTCCGCGAGCCGACGTTAAGGCGAGCCTCGCAGCACTTACAACGACTCGACGACGAATCCAATTGCGCGAAACGAGACGACAGCCTCCTTCCCGTCCGGGGCAACCCCGACCTCTCCCCGACTTATCTCCCGAACTTAATCTGCGTGTGCGCGTCCCCGCAACGCTCCACTGACTCGCCTCGACTCGGCGCTCAACGGCAGTCGACCGACAGTGCACTTCACCGACGCTTCTCTTTCCTTCCAGCTTTCGCCACTTCTTTAGCACGGACAGGCAGGCCTACCCGTATGCGCATGTGTGTGCACACATCCACGCGCGCCTCTCACTCTCTCTCTCTCTCTCCTGCCCCCACCCGTACCGTCACGTGCACAACGAGTACGTTTTTTTTTATCTCTTTCAGGCCTCGTCACCGCGCGACGAGAGCCGAGTGAAACGGAACGTCCGAGCGTCCGAGCGTCCGAGCGACGCTCCCACTCCACTTCCCACGCACACTTACCTCCTTGCCAATGCGGGTGGCGGTGGTGGCGGTTGGAGAGAGAGAGAGAGAGAGAGAGAGAGAGAGAGTGAGAGAGGGGTGAGGGGTGCTTTAAATTTCCGTGCAGTGTGCGTATTGTAGCGACCGTTGCCGACGCGTATTAAACTGCCCTTTTTACCCGACGCACTGGCAATTTTTGCTTTAATCTACACCGTCCTGTGCCATAACCACCACCCACGTCCACCACGGCCCACTTTCAAACGGCTTTACGTAAAATCCCGATATTCGAGACGATTTCGTGCTACCTATGGTACCGGATGACGCATCGCCACCACACTCGCTCCCTTACGAACGATCTTTCGAATACTGAGAATCGCCGCTCATCGCAAAAGTCCCCTACTTTTTCTTTAACGACCAATCGATCGTCGGATTCTTTCTTCAAATTATTTATATTCTACTCTCAGCTTCGCTACTACATGTCACGCTAAACACAAGCTGTACAAAGCACTTGGTTTCATTAACCATTCCATGTCAATTATGCAAGCCTTTCGATTAATCAATCCCACCCACCCGCGATACCTATAATACTCTACGTAAAATTTGCGCGTACGCTGCTTATCGGTAATTGTACAACATATTTGCAACATAGTAGCGAAACCCGTAAAAATAAGAAAACGATTCTCGCGCGCATTCAAGGGCTTCCCAAATTGCACGACAAGGTTTTTATTCTTTATCCAAGCTGTAAAACGATTTGAATTTCGGTTTTAAATGCGTCGCGGCCTATACGGCGAGATCTAGCAACATCTTCCAATAGCGTCAATATGTGACGAAATTTCGGGCCTCCCCCCCCCCCGCCCCCTACCACGCCCCGAGCAACAATCGAATAGAGAACTCGAATAAAGAGGCCCAAACGTTCATTTGCCGCGGACCCGAAATCGCGGCCCCAGAGAAGCGTACGCACGCGTCACGACAGTTTTTACCAGCGACGTGCCCTCGACATACGGTAAAACAGAACGAGACCGCCACACCGATTCTCCCCTACAACGAGCCAACGAGCCTTATCCATCGGTCTTTCAAATATCTTTATCCCTTCGATTATCTCATAATCCCCGTAACACATTTTTTTGGCACAGACTGGTTTCAAGGGCTCGAGAACATTTGAGAAAATCGTGTCACCTCGTCGACGAACGGCAAAAACACCAAAAGAGCGTCCTGATCGAAAGCCTGCCATCACGGCGGCCAAAATGTTTATTTTCTATAATTTATGGCGCGATTGGCGGATTGGATTGGTTTCGGGTGGCGTGGGAGGGCGAGAAGGACGACGGGCGGGTGGCGGGGGAGAGAGATCGACACTAATCACCCAAACAGCGTAAATTGTTCCGCGTCGAGGGGGCGCAGGGATAAATGGAGTAGTAGAGCGAAAGGGACGACGCGCTTCATCGTTCCAGCGACTCTGGAGCCTCGAGGGCTCGTCGATAGAGGTCGCGGCCAGTCCGAGCCCGAGGTGCACACGAGGTGGTTGCGTAAGTTGCGTAGTACGGAGGCTGTCCAATGCGCGCTAGGACGAGTCGCCCCGGAGTCGCGTTCTCGGGAGCTCACGACAAGATGGCGCCGCGCGCAGCCTCTCACTCGGCTCCGAGTCGCTCTTCCACAGCCGAGAGCCGTGGACGGAGCTCAGAACGTCCGCCGACTCGAGACAATGCGGAGGCGGAGGTAATGCCTGACGACGCGCGTCGCAAGCCGTACGAGTGTGCGTGAGCGCCCCCGTCTACACGCGAGTTCCATGGCCATGGTGGTGCGTTGCTCCCGAGTGGCCGCTAAAACACTCGGCCGAGTCCCGGCGTGAGTTGTGCGCGAGGCAGGGCATCCCAGACGTGTGTTACTTCGCCGTTGTCCTGGACGCACGAGGTCGCGCGGTCCCGGGTTCGAGCCAACTCGCCGGAGGATTGACTGTCGACAGCGGCGAGGGGGCGGGGGGACAAAGCATGACGTTCTCAGTGGCGGCCGGAGGAGGAACGCGCGACCGCTCCGCTCTCGTGGAGTCCTGAGCGAGTGTGCGCGTGTCCGCCCGCGTATGCAAAGGCCACTGCGAGACGAAGAGGAACGCGAGAGCGAGAGAGGGAATAATCTCATTTCGCCACCGAGGGACCAGCGCACGCACAAGCGCACGCACACGCATACGCGCGTGCCAGCGAGCTCGAGCTTTTTCTGCTTTTGTTTACGCTCGTGATCATTTTTTCGTCCACCTCTCTCTCTCTCTTCTCCCCATTCCTTCCTCCTTTTCTCCGTTCTCTCGATCTCGTTGCCGCGATTGTCGCCTCGCGTGATAATAACGCGGCTCGCGAGCGAATGGAGTGAGGGGCGAGAGAGAGAGAGGAGCAGGAGAGTGGCAGAACATAGTGCGAGAGGGAGAGAGGGAGAGCGAGAGAGCGCGAGAGGCAACCTCGTCGCGTAGCTCGCAGGCAAAATCACGACCAAGTTGGCGCGAGTCGCCGCTACCGCCGCCGCCGCCGCCGCCGCCACCGCCACCGCCACCGCCACCGACACCGACACCGACACCGACACCGACACCGACACCGTCATCGTCACCGCCACCAGCCAGCACCAGGCCAAATGGAGTCGAGGGCCACGAGTGCACGCCTCCACGTCCTGGCCGCGCTGCTGCTGCTACTGCTGACGTTCCTCGTCCACCTGGGTAAGTGTCTGTCTCTGTCTCTATCCCTTCGTACGACTCTGCCTTTGCCGGCGTTGGGCCGACGGAGATGCCATCGTAGGACGACGGCCAACGCCGAGGTGAACAGAGGCGAGCGCGCGCGCGCGCGCTTCTTGAGAATTGTCTAGCCGGCGATTACCCAGACGAAAGGCCATAAATATTTGACGAGAGCAGCTCGTACGGGACACACGTGATTCTTTCCCTTTTTCCTTCACCGCTTCCTCTCCTCTCTCGTTCTCATTGTCCTAGGAAAGCCAAACTCCTTGCCGGCATCCCATTTATTCACAACCTTTGTCCATCCGTCCAACACCCGCTCATCGTTACAATCAATCTTTATAATCGATTTGATCGATTTGCGCGAATGCGCTGCACAAGCCGTTACGTGCGTTCGAATGTAAACAAGTGTTATCGGCGCGCACGGCCAATCAACCTCACTTCCGAAATAAATCGCTCGATTCGCTGCTTTTCTTGGTCTCAACGGCCACTTGAGCGGCACCGGCGGTGCGGGTGGGGGACACGAACGATACGTTCGACGTGTCCGCAGCTAGATTTTAATTGATATCGAAATGCTTAATGATGTTTAAAGGCTTAAAATTGAAAAAGTATTGGAAAACTGTTAATAGTTGCGCAACCGCGCTTTTTCTTTAAGTGCGAAGCACTTGTTATGCTAATGAATCTCGTTTTATGTAACAGCTCGAGCCTAAAAAATCTAATTTTCCTACGGTGATATAAATAAGCCGAGTAAAGTCATGCCCACCTTACAGTCGTTAAAGTATTCCAGCCCCCCACCCCGCACCCCGCACCCCGCACCCCCCGGCCACCATCACCGCCTCATCACCTCGAATCAATTAGCCCGGTGGTAGTAATAAAAATAATGTTTTGGCAATTATTAACCTCTGACGAAAGTACGAGCATTAATTTATTTTCCATCATAATTGTCGTCTATCATGCAAATTCGACAAGGAATTAAAATTGGAAAATTTTGCCAATAAAAATTGATTTTCTAATTATCACAAGGAGTACAGATAATTGTTTGCCATACATTGTACGTAAAGGCGAAACTACTAATATTTGCGAACAAAAAGAAACAAGTTTTTTTTTTTTTTTTAAACAATATCGGTTTGATTGCGCATACGTCTTTGCGCTTATTCTCTTTTTGCAATTTAATTAGTTTATTCATGACTGTACTGTAGATTTATTGTTCTGTAAATTCAATATTAAACAATAGCCGTGCATACGAAAAAAAAAAAAAAATAAATAAATAAATAAATACGGAATATAACCATCAGAATTTAATTACTTTTAAAAATTGCAAATATACATGTTATTGAATGGCTTTAAAACTTTTACCTTCTACTTCTTTTTCCATTTATCTTTTTCTTTATTTTAACGAAATAATTGGTTTTTGGAAATTCGATTGCATTGCACGTAAGATAGATTTTCAAACGAGATTATTTTATAAAGTCAATTGAGAATAATAGCGAAGGACTATGCTTGCCTATAATGACCTCGACAGCTGGGATGAATCTCATTTTTCCCACCTCTTAGTGTATTATCGCTGACCATCGCATGGAGAATATTGCGTTATACCAAGCGTTTGAAAATGTATGGAAAGTTTGTTAAGCAGCGATCGGCAATCGGCAATCGGCAATCGGCAATAAAGCTGGATGCTTGTGCTTGCACGTTGGAAAATGTAATGTATGTCCTCGTGTCTTGCAAAAAGAGCGCATAAGCCTAGGCCAATTGTCCAATTGTTCATATACTAAATGGCATTGTCCCAGCTCTGTATGTCACAGATACATCGTGCACGACCGTAGAAAGGTAAGAGTGCAGCATGAGTAAAGGATAAAAAAAAAGCAAGGAGACCCTCGGCTCTTTCTCCCTCCCTGCCTCACTCTCACTCACTCGCTCACTCACTCACTCGCTCACTCACTCGCTCACTCACTTGCTCACTCTCTCTCACTCTCGCGTTTAATCTCGCTTCGTCCAACACAGCGTGTTCTTCTTATATGGCGTGGCTCTCCTCTCGCGAGATCATCTCCGACGCCTTCGTGCCGCCCCGCCGTAGAATCTTCCTCTTTTTTTCTCCGTCCTCCTCCTACTCCGTCCTCCTCCTCCTCATCCTCATCCTCATCCTCATCCTCATCCTCATCCTCATCCTCATCCTCATCCTCATCCTCATCCTCATCCTCATCCTCATCCTCATCCTCATCCTCATCCTCATCCTCATCCTCATCCTCATCCTCATCCTCATCCTCATCCTCATCCTCATCCTCATCCTCATCCTCATCCTCATCCTCATCCTCATCCTCATCCTCATCCTCATCCTCATCCTCATCCTCATCCTCATCCTCATCCTCATCCTCATCCTCATCCTCATCCTCATCCTCCTCGCCGACACACTACTCAATTTCCCTCCCGCTCCTATTCCTTACGCTCACTCCCGTCCTCGACCATCCTTCGCCAATTCTGCACGCGCTTTCGTGGCTCGCTGTCTTTATGCTCACTTTTTTCTCGGGGCGAAATCCCGTTCGTGCCCTTTCGCACAAGAAATGCAGCTAAGAGCGAGGATATCGATATGCGGAACGCGACCTTCGTCGAAAAATTACTCGAAATATCTCACGTACAATTTGTCAAATGTACCATCATCCTATCTTGCCCTCCCTTTGAGGCTCCTTTTTCAAATCACATCGCGGACTCTCTGCTTTTTTCTTTCTTTCCTTCCATATCGTTCTCGTCCGAGTCATTTTATTTTAAGTTAGCGCCATCGCTGCGCCAATTGGAAACTGCTTTTTCTAGGATCGAAAGTTAGCGTTGCTAATGTTGTTCTGAATTTCAATGGAACACGGTGTATATTATTATAGAAATTCTTATTTTGCATATTAACTATCGATTCGTATTATCAGCTTCTTTTTCCCAGCTGATTTGTATTTTTGTTTTTTGTTTTGTTTTTTTTTTGTTTTTTTTTTTTTTGCTTACCGCGAAGTGAAAATTCCACCGATTACCTATATATGTAATAAGTAAGCGATTCGTCGTCAGAGTATGCGAAATTACATTTGATTTTTTTATCTCCACTTCCGATCGATACTATCGGCGGTTTAGGCTTCAACAACAATAATCCGATAGATAAGAGAGAGAGAGAGAGAGAGAGAGAGAGAGAGATGTTGCACAATACTTTGCATACATTGACGGCTTGTGTGCGAAAATAAGAGAATATTTGTAGCCGCAAAGGAGCAAAATGTCATAAGCATCGTTGAGAAATATTTAAAGACAAAAAAATTCATTGTACATTCGATTTACTCAACTTTCAATCCGCCACATATAAAGCCAGTGCGCGCGTAAATGTAAACATCGGAGACGATTAATATGTCGTCGCGTTGGACAGAAATATTTTTGTAATGTAAAAATAGCGCGTCGTCGGTGCTGTTTCAACTGAGCTAAACTTTTCCGACTATCCAGCCTCGACTTTCAATGCTGAATTGTAGCTCGAATCACCTGTCGTTGGCCCAGCCGTTGTTGTTAAAGTCCATCCTTTTATGTCCCAAATCCAGCCGGAGCTTATGATTTCGCCACTCGTTACTATTTATTTGGCGGCGTCTATTAGCGCATCTAACGTTGAACGAATAGAAATTGCAGCCGCTCGCATCGCCTCGCCCCGCCTCGCGCCTCGACTTTATTATTATTTTCTTCAATTGCGAGCCGCTTCTTTGTTTATTCGTCGATTTTTCCAGCGCGGACGCACGTACCCTCCTCCTCCTCCTCCTCCTCCTCCTCCTCCTCTTTCCGCCCCCTCATCCTCCCCATCCCATCGCCCGTGCTCTCAATTAGCTCTACGAACGAACGTCGGCCTCTCCTCCATTCATCGACTTGCTCGTTTTTGCTTTCTCTTTAGCGCGCGCGCGCGCGCCTCCGGCCTCAGTATAAATACACGACGACGTCTAGTATATTTGTACGACTAGTATTGCACATAAAATGCCAAGTACGTGGCAGTGTACCCGTGTATAGGTGCGCATTGTTTGTGCCACACACCAACGAGGCCCTGTGCCCGATGAAAACTCAATTTCTACCCGGCTATTGATAATTAATTACATCCAGTCCATTATAATTAAAAATTAATTTACGGTATTTTTTAAATGCCGCCTGATTAATTCATAAATCTATTCATTTATTATAATTTATTAATTCTCTTTCAACGTGCCTTGCCCCCCTCCCCTCCCCTCCCCTCCCCATCCCGCCTCCCTCCCATTACTTTAGAGCTTTTAATAAGGATAACGGTGGTGCGAAGGGTGATGACGGAAAGGGGTGGGGGAGGGGGGGGGGGAGATTATAAAATGTTCGCGATAAGTAGTTATTTTATCCTGAAGATAGTTATACTATTTTTATAACGGCTCAAATAGGATATTAGCCGTAATTGCTTAATAATTTTTATCACCAAAGTTCTGTTGTCGTTGCGGACATTCGGGGTACTTTTCTCGTCTTGTTTCCTACCGTCTTGTGGTGTAGAAAATTGCATGTACTCGTATTTCTCTAAGCAAAATCCCTAATTCGCATTCAAATCTGAGAAAAAAAGTAAGAATTACTTTCCTATCACCGTGTCCCTCCGATTTCTAAAAAGTAGATCAACTGCACAGGCTTCTTTCTTTTCTTCTGATATTTAAAAATAGAAAATTTTAATAATTATTCAACTGTATTTGTTAAACATCGTTCGTAGTACCTTTATTATCTAGTAAAATACAATAGTAGTAGTATTTTTATCGCGCTTGCGCAAATTTAAAAATGATTATTTAATGTTCTCTTTATCATTATATATATATATATATATATATATATATATATATATATTGTATGTGCATGATTCTTAATATTATAAGTTTATTATAATATTATAATTTTCACTTTATTATTATTTATCATCTATTTATTCAGTTACTGTAAAATTATTTAAATACAGTTTGTACTTTGTATGGAATGGAAACTCAATT